TGATGACTGGTGAAATGGATAAAAATCGCCACTTGAAGGAGTTTTGACACTGTAAAAAGAGAAATTTCCCATGCCGCGATAATAGGGATGCCGCGATAATAGGGAGTCCGACTATACCACATTAAATGTGGAGGTATTTCTGGTAAGCAGTATAGTGAGTTCCTGGGTAAAGAGCAAGGATTTACTTGGATTTGTCCACAATGTGCAATGCCGAAGTTCAGTAGCAGCTTCTTTGAAGATCTGTTAGTGGATCATCAGATAACTCATTCAGTGACTCTGACTGCGATATTCTGCCGGATTATGATGATGCTCCAAAAACTTCTCACCCAGAATGCCCGCCCTGTGTATCTAACGACGGAAACAAAAATAGATCTCATGCTACACGTAAACAGCAAAGACGCAAACTTAAACTTATAACAGTGAACTGTAATGGTTTGAAGAGTTTAAGGAAACAGACAGAAATGGCTGCTTTAATTGATCAGGAACAACCAGACATAGCGATGGGTACAGAATGTCATCTTGATGCCACCATCAAAAATGTAGAAGCGTTTCCTGAGACAGTTAAAGTTCAGCGTAGAGATAGGAACATACATGGAGGCGGGGTCTTCATCGCCTATAAAGATGACATTATCGCTAGCAAAGTGAAAGTGGGGACAGATTGACCATGCATCAAAGTCAAAACCAGTAGGGCACCACCAGTTTACATTGGTAGCTACTACAGGCCTCCCGGAAATGACCCTAGTTACATCCAAAGTTTGCATAGGGATCTTGAGATGCTGTTTGATGGCAAGACTGTTCCTATAGAGTCATCCTTATGGGTGACTTTAATCTCCCATCAATTGACTGGAATACCATGACAGTGCATCCATCATCACAGTATGGCAAGTCAGTAAACGAGAGTATGGTCAGCCTGTCAGCAATTTCTACCTAGATCAACTTGTCCTTGAGGCTACTTAAGGAGGGGAAATGTGCTCGACCTGATCCTTACCAACGCTCCTGACAGCCTACAAAACGTAAATGTCGTTCTCGGTATGAGTGACCATAAGGCCGTGACTGCTGACTGCAACATAACTATACAAATAAACAGGAAGAAACCTAGAACTGTTTAATTAAACAACAAGGCCGACAATGAAGGGCTCAAAGAAGATCTCGACTCTTTTGCCAATGACTTTAGCACAACGTGGAAATCACGTACTGCATCTTCAAATTGGACCCATTTCAAGCTGCAGATCACAAGCATCATGGACAAGAATGTGCCAACTTAATGTCTGAAAGCTGCATGGTTCATTGTTTTGTCTGGATTAAAATGCTGCATGACCATCACTTGGCATTGCATTTTTTTTCTGTTTTCACACAGCAATCCCACCATCGTGAAAGTTTCAAATATAATACTGGTACACGCACTGCATGTCACGATCCCTAACAACCATAAACAAAGAAACAACTGTTCACCAACAGAGCACATAGGCTTGAAGCTAATGTAACCTATGTGTACATCTTAATCAACTGTCAAGAGTCGAGCATCATTAAAGGCATGTGGGAACATTTGCATTTAGTAAAAAAAATTACCTATCGATTAATGACAAATTCTTTGCCCAAATTAAGTTTGGGACCTGCTGTGTGAAAGTGTTTCGCCTTAACTTGTATAATTTAGAAGTGAGAAAACGTTGAAGGTGGTTTTAGAAAATTTTCCCACGTGCTGTTTTTACACAGCTATGCAGCAAATTTTGGTGGTATCCTAATTTGTCAATGTCTTTTCTTTTCAATCAGAAGGCGCTTGTTAGAAGCCATAAACGATGCCATTATTAAATAAGTATGACACTATTTGCTCTTCAAGTTCAACGTTTGTTTATTCGCTCTCAGGCAATGACTACAGCGTCTGCAACAAAGAAACAACAAAATAACACCAACAGGTTAACGTTAAAATCATGTTGTAAAGTCACAGTTCTCTAATTATAGCAGGGATCACGCCCAAACTCATAAATTATCAAATAAACCACGACGGGAAACTGACTGCATTTATGAAGACTCTTGACAGGTGATATAATGTAAATCTACTGCTACAGGATACTAGAAGCCCTAAATCAGAAATATTTAATTGAAGAACATTAAATTACTTTGAGTCAGTATGCATACTATTCTACCCCTACCATGTACTCAGATATGTAGCACCACAAAAGGGGCAAAATTATATACCTTAACATGGTGTTTAAAGTGTATTGTAAAAAATAAAGTTAACGAATGCAGATTCTGTGTTTTACTACCAAAATGAGGAGTTGGGACTCGTTTGAAGCAAGGTGCTTCCATAAATCGGGGCCGTATCATAAGTCCGACGCCTCATAGGTCCGACGCCATAAGTCCGAAACTCGGAATTATGAGGCGTCGGACTTATGAGGCATAACATTTATTTATTCCGCCTCATAGAGCTGACGCCTCATAAGTCCGACGCCTCATAAGTCCGACGTCAGAAAAACGAAGCGTTTAATTTTTCGGACCTACGAGGCGTCGGAGCTATGAGGCGTCGGACTTATGGGCCTTTATTTGGTTAGGGGATGCGATTTTGTCGGACTTATGAGGCGTCAGACCTATGAGGCGTCGGACTCATGAGCGGACCCCCATAAATCGCCTTGAATTTAAGCCATGCCCACCAAATGGGTGACAGTAACGAATGGTTTAATGTAAGTTAGAATGCATCATATGCTGACCCCCATCCGACGTAGGGCAACTTAAGAATGGTCATTTCGGAACTACCCCCCGACGGCCAATCGATTGGTACCATCAAACCGTTTGTGCTCAAATTGTTAATTAAACTCAACCTAGCTCCCGGTTTAATATACTGTGCATATAACAACAGTTCTGTAAATTAACAAAAAGGTATTGTTGCGCCACTGCCGCTGGAACAAACTTTTGCCAGGGGGTGCTGGAATTTCTAAAGGACTGGGACAAAATTAATGCCAAAGCGATACGCAAAGCCCTTACGTCCTAGCTTAATTTGGAATATGGATGCTCTGTGGTGCAATCTGAGGCGATTCCTGGCCACTTCATTTTACTTTTTTTAGCAAAAGTTTTTTGAGATTATAAATACAATTTATTTGATTATTTTGTTCAGAATATACTGTTGTACTTAAAACGTTTAACCGTACTGAAAAGTGGAGAACCCTGTATTTTTATCTCCATTTTGATTCCATTCAATTCTTATCATTAACCTATGCATGACATCGCATGTAAATATTATTGTTGCAAGGCTGCTTTCTTACATTTAGTAAATTCCTTCGTGTATGTTTTGTTTTATTTTCCGAGCCCTTACGGCGTGGCGCCACAGGGCCAGGGGCCTGCTTTAAGGCCCCGGCAAATGTTGGATTCTGGATTCAATGTGATGAAATAAACTGAAGTATTCTGAAACTTATGAAACCCGAAAGGATGGTTTTTGATTCAAGTTAAAGGGAACGTACATTATAGGCTTTTGCTGTAATTTTCAGAAATTAACTATTTGGGGGGTTAGTATAATAGATCAAATATTGTTACACTGACATGTTTAAAATTTTATGTTTGAAAATGCTGGAAAACCAAGAAAAACAAACATGTTCAAGTAGTCTGGTTCCCTGACTCCACTAAAGATGGAATGGATAAAAAATGCCGGATAATTGTAAGGTAAGGGAACCAGTCTAGCTGGCCTGCACCCGTTCATGAACATGGAACCAATAGCAAACAAAATTTGGACCGAAAAAACCGGTAAATTTTGACCGGTAGTTGAAAAATAGTTAGGTTTTCCCAAGGGTGTTGCAGCGCCCACGTCACCCCCCGTTCCCGCGGGCTTGTGTTGCGCCTTCTACTGGCAACAAAGAAAACTACGGAGGTACGGAAGCGTATTTAGGACATGACCGAAAATATTTTTTAGGCCCACTAGTTCGCCCGGGCGGATTACCATTTCGCCCGGGCGGATTACCATTTCGCCCGGGCGAATTATTATTTCGCCCGGGCGGATTACTATTTCGCCCGGGCGGATTACTATTTCGCCCGGGCGGATAAGCATTTCGCCCAGGCGGATTACTATTCCGCCCGGGCGGATTACTAATTCGCCCGGGCGGATTACTAATTCGCCCAGGCAGACTACTAATTCTCCCGGCCGGGCAGACTACTTATTCGCCCGGGCGAATTAGTAATCCGTCCGGGCGAAATAGTAATTCGCCCGGGCGAATTAGTAATCCATCCGGGCGAAAAAGTAATCCGCGCGGGCGACATAGTAATTCGCCCGGGCGAATTAGTAATCCGCCTGGGTGAAATAATAATTCGCCCGGGCGAATTAGTAATCCGCCCGGGCGAAATAGTAATCCGCCTGGGCGAAATAGAGGGCCGGAAATGTTTTTTTGGTCATGTCCTAAATACACTTCCGTACGGAAGTGTATTTAGGACATGACCATTTAGGACTATTTCGCCCGGTTGGATTGCTAATTCGCCCGGGCGAATTATATTTCGCCCGGGCGGATTACTAATTCGCCCGGGCGAATAAGTAGTCTGCCTGACCGGGAGAATTAGTAATCTGCCCGGGCGAGTAAGTAATCCGCCCGGGCGGAATAGTAATCCGCCCGGGCGGAATAGTAATCCGCCCGGGCGGAATGTAATCCACCCGGGCGGAATAGTAATCCGCCTGGGCGAAATGCTAATCCGCCCGGGCGAAATGGTTATCCGCCCGGGCGAAATGGCAATCTGCCCGGGCGAAGTAGTGGGCCTAAAAAAAATTTCGGTCATGTCCTAAATACGCTTCCGTAGAAACCACTGTACAATAACTTGGCCTTTGTAATTATTGACATACGGATCTCTGTGTGAAATATTAACAGCGATTTTTTTAAACAGTGTAGGCCGCCGTTCGTTAACTTATACCACCCCTTGCGTCTGGGTAGCAGCTCATCCTTGCGTGAGGTCGGTGGGTAAGGCCAGGTCAAATTCTTTTCTTCGACCAGGTCGGACTGCTTTGTCAACCTTTATTTCCGCCACAAAGGGTGTATAGGCTACTAGCTAATATAATTCCGCCGCAGTATCATGGAAGTCATTCTGTACGAATAACTGATTAACCTCCACGCATGTATATTGCACCTAAAGTAAAGCAGCCTCCCGCAGGGGTTTACCTGTACATGAATCGAAAGTGGAACATATTGGCACATTTATGAATTCTTCGTTTACTCCTGAATTCATATTGAACTTCGCTCGTCACAGACCGAGACTTTATTCAGTATGGCCGCAGACAGGTAAGATGATTTAGTACGGAAAGATTCCCATATCTGGCCATCGGTAATTTTCCCTTAAATGACCTATCAGCCATCAGAAAGTGATATTATGTCCTAAAAAGTCAAAATTAGCATGGACAAATTTTGAATTTTTACCGAGAAAACACTTAGAAATTTTCAGACCAGTCCCATAGGGGTTTTGCACAGTGTGACTAATGATGGCCAGATATGGGAATCTTTTCTTTAGGACATTAAAGAACGATAAGTTTTAGGTGCAAATCTACAAGCTTAATTGTTTAGTCACCTTTTTTAAGCAAAAGAATGGCTCAGCAGGTCATTGTGTCAGATTCGGGAGCGTTTATAAGCCAGTGATAAAAAGAACGGTGAATAGCAAGGTTTCGACTTATTATAAAAACTGAAGAGTCTTTTCGTTTCAGGTTTTAATGTTAGTATATCTACCGAGAGGAAACCCACTTATGTATCGTAGTTATTACTCAGAATTGTTCGTCATTAAAACAAGGCGTATCTGCAGCTACCTGTGATTGTTAGCCGTATACTCTTCCAACATTAATTCAATATTTCCCCCGTAATTTCCAATGCAACAATTAATTCAGATGTTTATTCAAAACAGAAAAATAGAACCAGTCAAGGAAACGTGTCTGCATGCATAAAGTAGTTTGCATAATGTGGAGGTCAAACGCATTGGACATCGTTAAAAAGTATATTATGAGGGTATAGCTCATTAGGCAGTTTCACCGTTCTGTATTGCAAAGAGATTCAATTCGTTCCGACTTGAGTGTGACCATTGAGGAAGATGTTTTAAAAGCAGACGGCAAACGATTCATTTCCCCGTCGGAGGAAACATTTATTCATTTAAAACAAACTTTTTTTTCATTGATTTTCCAATCAAATAAAGATTTTATAACTTCATGTAAACAGAAAACTAAGTTTGCAATATGTAATACGTGTGAATCTTATAGTGTCGTTTTATCTAATTTTAAATAATAAAAAAGACTGTTTACAATTCATCGTAATCTTACAAATGTGTAACGGCACAGAAAAATTATAAAGTTGAGGGCACTTGAGTTTTGCTTAAGCATGCTAAACAAAATATTGTCTCATGACAGATTTACCATCACATTTGCATTCAAGTTTTTCTTAATCCAGTCATAAACATGTAAACAAACCTCACAGGTACAAAATATATGCATAAAAGATTCACTCTGCTCTACTAGATAGAAAGCTTACAAACCATTTCCCCTTTCTCAATCCTTACCAGAAAATAATTACTGCCCAGGATCCTAAAAATTGATTTACGTGTATATTTAAACCACCATAGTTTTGTGTCACAAATGAATGGCATACTCCAAGAAAAAAATGACAATTTACATGCTGGCGAATTGCCACTGAGTTAAATTACCGAATGGGTGGCATTCTTTTTTATCCATCCAAAGTGTTTCAAAAGAAAACGCAATAAAGGGAAAGCGAATTGCTTTAACCTCTGAGTATAAATTACGAAAAGAAATTTGACGGTCTATATTATACGCCGACGTTTTCCAAAAAAAAAAATAGTCCTCACACTGAATTTCGACACGACCACATAAAGTGCTGTAGACGTAAATATCCCTTGTTAGGCCAGTGTTTGTAAAAAAATACAAAGTATTGTAGGTTCTGTGGTTGTGCCATAAAACATTTGTAAGGGGATCACTGATCGACCGCCACATGGCATTGCACAAAAAACTGCAAGCATTAAAGATATTAAATGAATCCAAAACTGATTGGATGAAGCACACTCTGAATTTCAGTCGTATAGAAAGCAAAGTAGGCCAACCTGAACTAAGTGTTCAACAATCTGCGAATCCATGTACAATGTAATTAAGAGCGTACACGTATACGATCTTAAGGTCTCCCTGCTTGTAATGTTGAATCTAGCAACTCTATCGCCAACATAACATTCAAATTGTTAAAAAATATGCCTTGGTGTGTCAGGGAGTGACAAGGTTAAGAAGTAAATATTGTGACCCACAAGGCCTAGAACAGTTAGTATTTTTTTATAGACCACTGTCCAATTAGACTACCAGCATCTAATACCCTATTATAATTAAAGTCATCATAATCAAGGTTGGTTGAATAGTCAATACAAAGTGCTCTAAAACTATATTGAGGACCAACAAAGTCAACATATATGTCATCACAACACAGAAACTTTTCTGGCGAGCCCTTATTACCACAAAGCCACATATAATTATTTTTCAATATTTATGTTAAGACCAGACATACATGCACTTGCAATTTTCACCAAGAAGTTTTAAGGTTCTTTAAAAGAACGCTCTAAATCATGTAACTAAGAAAAACACTGTATCGCCAACCTATATTGACAAAGCCTGTATTTAGTACCATCAACCGGAAGATATAAGAAATGAATCAAGCCTAGCTGTCTCCAATTATATTTGCCGGGGATAGGATCTTGGGTCAATAAATCCAGATCTCTACATAAACCTAACACATTATTTCCTGCTAAAGGATTCATTATTAAATGTCATTGATTTTGTGTCATGTGAATTAAAAAAATACACGTACTGTACTTGTAAAATCAGATTGACACTTCATTGGTTTTTTTTTTTTATATGCTCCGTGGCTTTCTGTTGTAAGGCATTTTTAATATATACTCGTAGGCCGATATATAAAAACGTATTTATACATAACATTCATTAATTTTACTACACCCATTCAACCATCTAGAATAATAAATGTATAATTTAAATGTTTATGTATTTGGGACCATCAACATCTGGACAACATGTCGCGTGAGTAATAATAATAATAAAGGCCCCCCCCCCAAAAAAAAAGAAGAAGAAAGAAGGCAAAGTTTCACTCACGAGAGTATGCCCATAAGTCATCGATAACCGCCTTCAACCATGAATTGGGTTACACATTGTACTCTATTGTTTTGTTTATACTGACGCTTCAAGTTACAAAAAAACCCACACACACACCAAAAAAAAAACCAAACAGAGAAAATATAAATATATATACACAATATATATTCACTTAAGCGCGCGTTGTCTCCATCGTCGTTCGCCTTTTGTCCTCTTTTGTTGTACTACATATATCTTCGAGTATTAATACTCATTCAGCCTTGACGTCACTACGCCTCAGACACACCCCGTTTTATAATCCTCGCCGGGGTTACCGATTTGATCCTCGATGAGGATCATGATCCTCCTCCTAAAAACGAGGTCAAATACGCAGTATACACTACATTTCATTTGCCTACATTTCACATAGGCCTTTGTGTATATAAGAACAAACACATTAATGATCAATAAGGTATACATTGATTAATTAATGAATCATTAATTAATGAATCAAAGTTGTTTCATGATTTGTATAGGCCTGTATAATTTATTTAAATTGAATGCAGAAAATGCGAATTGAAATTGTAACAAATGATAAAGAATGTTCAATTCAGCCTGTGTCACAATAGACAATCGATTTTCTGCGAATTGGATTGCACAATATAAATATATATACACAATATACACAATACTCTTATATTATATGAGAGCAAAAGTAACAGCTCTCAACCTAAATCAGAATCTTAGAAAGTGAAGTACTGTACGTGCGAAGTCCAGGACAAGTACAGTGTACCGCTCAAGCACTGGCGATCAAGACTTTTACATAGTACCGCGAAGATTTGAAGTTCGCAAATTTTGTTAACCATGGTTGGTGATTTTCGTTGACAAACCATGCATTATCTGATAATAGGTGTCAAAACGAATCAGCGAATCGTCACTACGAAGAAGGTGGCTGGGGATGGATCGTTGTCATTGCTACTTTTACAGCAGAGATGATCGTGTTTGGAAACATAAAAGCACTGGGTGTGTTTGTGGAAACTATAGCGAAGGAGTTTGACACTGATCTCTGGTTAACTGGATGGGTGGCATCCCTGTCACTTGCCGTGCAATTGTTGATGGGTAAGTATCTGTGACTGTATCCTCTTCAATCAAACCGGTTTTTTTTTTTAAACAAAAAAAACACCCCAAAATGTGCTATTAAGGGAATTACAGGAGATTGATTTTTAACATATAAAAGTGATTCTGCAGTGGGCTCAAACCCTTATCTCAACATAGATCAGTGGTAACGTCTCGTGCAATAGGGAATCTTGCATCGAATCAGGACTGTTCGTGAGCGGATTGTAGGTGAACAGGATCGTTCGTAAATATGCTGATACAATGACCTCAAACAAATCTAACGATTCCGAGATCTACAGATTCTTTATTCTTTATACGAATCTTGGATCAGGTGGAGGAAGTGATCCTGTCCGATATTCGGCAGAATAGTCACTTCCAATACTGTTGTAATGACTGCTACAGCTGTGCAAAACACAAGCACGTGCTCGCTCGCAGGCAGTTACGAAGTGAGCTGATTCTTAGTGACGACTCAAAATCACGGATCAAGCTAAAGAGGGCAAATCTCGAAAGAAAGTCAAGCTACAGTTTTGATGTGATATTTGTGATGTAATCATATCAACTTTGATGGCTGACGTTCCTTAGCGATATCGCGTATGTTGAGTTGTGTTGCTGGCTTCGGTTGGCTGTAGCTTTGCAGGGTTGTGAGCTTGTGAGCTTGAGCCGGTACCATGGCACTCACATCAGCAAGCATTGCCCATGGTTGCAGGCATCCCCCGCGAGCATCAGACGTGACCATCTGACCCTCAAGCTCTCACAGAAGGCTAACACGCCCGGTAGCCTAGTGCCCTACATCCCTGACAACTGCCCTCCGCAGCGAATCAACCGCCGGCACTTCGTAACCCGTGCTTGTGACCTAAAGAACGGCCTCTCACTCTCCCCGTCCTGGGTAGCAGATCGATGGAGAGAGCAGTGGGAGAGCATGACCACCAGCATGCACGAGTTCATCAACAAAGCCAGCAGGGCACAACCTCGAGCGCAAGCCCTGGGTTAGGCTCAACCGACTACGGACGGGGTGCGGGAAAAAACTAACCTTTTCCTACCCCTAGTTGGCGCCAGAGCTGACGACACCTGCCCCTGTGGTTCTCCACAGACGACCACGCACATTCTACGAGAGTGTCGAATTTTCGGCCCTCCCAACGGACCTGCTGGCCTGATCGACCTTGACGACACCGAATTGGAGTGGTTGAGAACTGACGTTCCGGGTATACCTCCAGGAACGAGTTATACGAACGACGACGACGATCAACTTTGATGACCCATCCCAATCTCCCGAAACACGAGCACCTTCCATTAGGGCCAAATGTTGACAATTTACTTTTGAGGTTAAACTAATCCCACTGTAAAATTCAAATCGTCCAAAGTAATCAGCATAATTAACCATTCATATACTTGTGGAGAAAATTAGAAATGGAGTTAAAGGGATAATTTTTGGCAGAAAATTATCAATGACATTCATTTTGCGTGACGGTCCGTCGGCAAACTTGATAATGGCACCCCCATTCAAAATACCGACGCCCATGGTTGTAACTTTGTAATGGAAGGATTTGTTTGGCTTTCAGGTCCACTTCTTTTACCACTACTGCGCATGTTCGGTTGTCGCCCAGTCTTGCTGTTGAGTGGTGTCATGGCAACCGTGGGCTACATTTTGGCCGCGCAGTCTCATACTTTCGTCGAGTGGGGCGTGTTCGTCGTGTGTTTTGCAGGTATAAACGTTCATCAGCCATCCTCTATACTTGATTATTTCTTGCAATGAAAAAAGTCAACAAAAACAACTAGTAAAAATCAATGGAAAAATACAATGTAAAGTTAAATGGTGTTTGAATAGTTGATAAAAAGTGTAAATTAATGATGAAATAGAACGGATTTGGAAAAGAAAACACTAATAAAACAAATTAATTTTTGAAAATGGATGTTAAGAGCCAGTGATCAGGAGATAACCTCATCGCCCATATTTCCTGTTTCTCTCATCAGGGCTTGGCTCGGGTTGTTTTATTTACGCACTTGTGTCCCTCCTCGCAACATACTTCAAAAAGTACTATCCTCTGGTTGTACTCATTGGGGATCTTGGTATGTCGTGTGGAACTTTGATTTACGGTCCCATCACCCAAGTTCTCCTCGATACCTACGGTTGGAGATGGGCCATGATGATCATTGCAGGCTTAACGTTCCATCTGGTTCCAGTGGCAGCGGTAGCTAAAACATCCAACGTGGACAGAGATCAACAGAGTTATCATCGTATTCCGCAAACTGTAGAGAGAAGTCCAAGTAACACTTCACCACGTCTACAAAAGTCTGCTGAAGATGAACATTGCTGCAGCAAAATGCTAGCCACCTTTGACTTTGGGGTTTTAACTGATGTTCGTTTCTTATTGGTGTCTCTGGCGTGTTGCGTGGTGGCATTTTGCTTCGTAGGATGGGCAGTATACGTCGTTCCACACGGAATCGATCAGGGACTATCTCCTATGCAGGCATCTTTCCTACCAACATCATTTGCTGTGGGTAATATAATTGGAAAGTTAGTGGCAACTCTCTTTGTACAGATTGAGCTTGTCCAAGCCCGATGGGCCATGTGCATCGGGGCTCTGTTGGCTAGTATTTTCTTCTTCGTGGACCCATTTATGGCGTCCTATGCTGGTCTCTTGATAGTGACTATGGTTATAGGAACAGGAAACGCCATATGCAATACAGTTAAGCTCCTCCTATTTCGGAATATGACGTCAGATGATCGACTGCTTGGCATGTTAATGTGGCAAGGATTGTTCCTAGGATTCAGCGATGTTTTATCCGGCTTTGCTTCAGGTAAATATCTTTAAAAATAGTGCCAACTAAAAACGAAAACGTGTATGACTTTGGTCGAATGCTGTGTATGTAAAACGAAGATGTGTAAACTGATGAAAAATCTCGTGGAAGGAAACAAGTAAACTAATAATAGAAGGGATTGTTACACTTTGAAGCGTTGATTGCTGGGAGCGACACTTCAGCATCTTGCGTGCGCGCTGTCATAAATCCGCCGGAAGCCATTTTCTGTGGTGGCTGCAGGCTCGCGCGAGTCGCGCTCAGGTAGTACACCAACCTCGTCCCCAGTACTTACTTTATTTCCAACCTCGTTTCCAATAGTAAGCCCTGGATAGGAAACTTTCTTCCTGTATCCTGATTCCATACCGCAATTTGCTAGTAATGGATTTATATCGTGTAGTTGGTGTTGGTAATTCCAAAGTGCATTACGTGTTTTCACGATCATTGTAATTATAACGTCCACGCCTTCCCCAAAATACTCCTTTCCATTTCGTGCTTTCACAATTCACGGCGCGACGAATTGATGCTGTTTTTACCACAGACATCGCATACAAAAACAAACGGTAATGTAAAGCACATGCAGGCACCAGACTACTCCACATTTGCAAACGCCTTCAATAATCTGGCACATGCAAATGATCCAATACCAGGGTGAGAGGACAGGTAGTGATGGGCGTGTACTGCTCGACACCCTGGGGACGAGGTTGACTATGGACCTAATTCACGAGGAAGCCATTTCGGTCATGTTCCCAGAATTCATTTTATAAGCTGTGAACTGTTGAGTGGGATGGTGCCAGACTATTTATGCATTCTAGCCTCAATTCCATTTTTTTTTAAATGTGGCTTAAAACATTAGGATTATGTTTCATCACACATTTTAAATTATTCATAATAGCAGAGTCTGGTGTTAATTTGTATTTGCTTTATGTCATTGCTTTCATTTCTCATGAAAAGTGTTGGACATTTTGTTGGCGCACGGAGCCCATACACTAAAGGATGTGCTACTAGGACTACAATGCACAATAGAAACTGGTTTGACATCACTTGCCAAAGCTGTTGCTTTATGAGATCTATAGAGATAGTATTAAATTATTCCCAAAATTATCCAAACTAACGGCTCAAATAATTGTTAATTCAGGCGTACTTTGAAGTAGTTTAGTTTGACTTAATTCTTCTTTGTTCCAGGTTGGCTTTTCGACGTGAAGGGTAATTTCAAGACGACATTTATCATGTTTGGAGTTGTACAGTTCCTTGCTGTTATATTTCTGCTTCTGGACTATTTGGTAGAAGTTTACAAAAAAAAAGCACACAAGTAATTTCACACTAAGGCCATGGAATGATAAATCTGCTATTTATTTCAACTCACCTTAGTATCGATGGGTCCCCCAAGGGTCCATCCTTGGTCCTCTTCTTTTCTTGATCTACGTAAATTACCTTTGCTACTCTTCTCATATCCTGAATTTCACTCTTTTCGGTGATGACACTACAATCTTCTACTCAAACCCTAACGTCTCCTCTTTGGTTAACACATTAAACTCGGAACTTGTCAAGGTTTCTTCTTGGTTTAAGGCCAATAAACTTTCTCCGAACCTGACTAAAACTAACTTCATTTTCTTTAGTAAAGCTTCTTGTCAACATATTGATTTGCCCAGGCCTCCTGTTAAAAGTGACGGTATTTCTATTACAAGGGTTGAATCAACCAAATTCCTTGGTGTCATCATCGACCATAAACTTTCCTGGGTTGAGCATATCTCCTCTATCACAAAAGTAGCTTCACGCAATCCCGGTATTCTGTCTAAACTTCGTTTTTTTTTTTCCTCCTAAATGCCTGGTTCTGCTTTATAACTCACTTATTCTCCCTTACTTAAACTATTGTATTATATGTAATATTGTCTGGTCGCGCACATCCAATAACAAGCTGCACTCTAGATCACTCAAAAAAGAGCTATTCGTATCTGCACTTCCTCACACCATCGGGAGCACTCTGCACCTCTATTTGTATTAAAGGCTACATACCCTCACTCTTAATGACTTAAATAAATTTCACACAGGGATCTTTATGTATAAATTCACTCACAAACTCCTCCCCAACTGTTTCTCTTCTTTCTTCTCATCAGTCCAAAGCACACACGATTACTAGATCCCGCCACAATTTATATGTCCCATTCGTACCCGCACCTTTTATTCTAGTTCTACTCTCCGTTTCTATGGTCCCCGTTACTTTGTGGAACACCATTGAAAACGAAATCAGAACAATAACGTCCGTGGGCTGTTTTAAATCCTCGTACAAAAAGGCGCTCCTATCACTCTTTTCGGTGATGACACTACAATCTTCTACTCAAACCCTAACGTCTCCTCTTTGGTTAACACATTAAACTCGGAACTTGTCAAGGTTTCTTCTTGGTTTAAGGCCAATAAACTTTCTCCGAACCTGACTAAAACTAACTTCATTTTCTTTAGTAAAGCTTCTTGTCAACATATTGATTTGCCCAGGCCTCCTGTTAAAAGTGACGGTATTTCTATTACAAGGGTTGAATCAACCAAATTCCTTGGTGTCATCATCGACCATAAACTTTCCTGGGTTGAGCATATCTCCTCTATCACAAAAGTAGCTTCACGCAATCCCGGTATTCTGTCTAAACTTCGTTTCTTTTTTCCTCCTAAATGCCTGGTTCTGCTTTATAACTCACTTATCCTCCCTTACTTAAACTATTGTATTATATGTAATATTGTCTGGTCGCGCACATCCAATAACAAGCTGCACTCTAGATCACTCAAAAAAGAGCTATTCGTATCTGCACTTCCTCACACCATCGGGAGCACACAGCACCTCTATTTGTATTAAAGGCTACATACCCTCACTCTTAATGACTTAAATAAATTTCACACAGGGATCTTTATGTATAAATTCACTCACAAACTCCTCCCCAACAGTTTCTCTTCTTTCTTCTCATCAGTCCAAAGCACACACGATTACTAGATCCCGCCACAATTTATATGTCCCATTCGTACCCGCACCTTTTATTCTAGTTCTACTCTCCGTTTCTATGGTCCCCGTTACTTTGTGGAACACCATTGAAAACGAAATCAGAACAATAACGTCCGTGGGCTGTTTTAAATCCTCGTCCAAAAAGGCGCTCCTATCACAATATGTAACATAGCTTTCCCTCCTCAGCCACTCTCCATAGCCACATCTCTTCTTTCATAAAATTCATCGTCTCTTTTATTTATCTTATCCTCATCGCAACTACTCAATTTATCTCGGTTTTTAGTGTCCCGTCTCGTGTTTTGTTTTGTTTTGTCTTGTCTTTAGTTTCCCTTTGACTGTTTTCGTGTTTATTTCTATTGTCTGTGTATACTGTCCTGTATTGTCCATGTTTTATGCTGTTCTCTACAAGCTTCGGTTTATATGAACAGCCCCATACTCCTCACCCTTAATTAATATATTTAGTCGTTGTACTACATTGTTGTATTATTATTATTTATTTAATCTATACAATTACTTTCTTTTTATTTTGAAAACTTAGTTTGACTTATTTGTGGAAAGTATGAAAATAAATGTTGCCTTTGAATTGAATTGAATTCTTGTGCAACATGTGAGTAAAAAAAAAGAAGTGACCGGGATTAATGATTTTTGTGAAAGCTGATTTTTTTTGGGTTTTCTAATAAAATGGATCTAACTTATGAATAGAGTGTACCAAATTCTCACAGTTGCTACTAGTAAAAATGTAGTTATTCCAATGTTTGAGACAAGCTACATATACATTTCATAGAACTGGATAACTTTCTTTTGACTCAACCTGTGTAGCTTGCCCTTTTTTCACTTGAAAGGCAATCCGCGATTTTTATTTTAAATGCCATTCAGTACAAATCAGTAAATTTAGACAGTGAATTTAGAAGTTGGTACAAAATGTGGATTTTGGGTCTAGCACCTTGAAAAAAAAATACATTTTCAAATTTAATTGATAATTTTCTGGCACCACATTAGTTATGAGCTTTCCAATGAGATACCACACAAAAACCCCTTGAACTAAGTAAGAGCGGGACGCTCCTACTTCGTTCTGAAGTCAGTAGGCCTATAATGTGCGCATGCGCTTTTGCGAGAGTGCCGTTTATGGATAATAATTTCAACAGCTGTACAGACTGAGGCCGTGTCCGAAACGGGCTTGCAAAGCTACGGCTACGTCTATTGTCAGCGCGTCCCCGTGTATGTTCAATGTGCGCGGACCTAGACCTAGCTCTAGACTGTTGATTCGGATGCGGCCTAACTTTCCATAATGTGCGCATGTACTCGCAGAGCTGACATACCGGCGAATCGATCATTTTGGCGATTTTGAGATTTGGTTATTTTGTGGTTTATAAAGATTGCGCTTTCAATTAAGTATTTATGCCAAAATTCTTAATTCGTGTCTGGATTTTGAGATTCGGAGCCCCGCCTGTGGGAAATCAGTCACAATAACAAATACAGAATTTCACATAGTGACCAAAACGGAGTTTCGCTGGTAACCGGTGTGCGCTCAAAGTACCAACGAATACTATTCGTCAGTTTGTCGGATCGGTATACAGAGGGCTCGCGATCCGACAAACTGACGAATAGCATATACAAACAGTGTGAAGAACAACCGGCTATATTAGAAATGTTGTAATTTGACAAACTGACGAATACGTTTACCTTCAAATAAAAACATACCGTACAACTTCTCTGATTAAATAAGTAACCTGATGGATGCTACGTTTCCTATTTTATTTCGAACATACGCCAAAAGGGTTATTATTGAATCATTAACGGTGAAATACGACGCCCAAAAAAATGTCCAACTTCAAACGCGAATTACTCGAAACAGGGTTTTCGCTTATTCGTCGGTATGTCAGCTCTGCGGGTGTGCGTGTACACAGACACGTTCTAGCACATTGGGTCGTATGTATATAAATTGGCATTTGCTTTTACTGCTACGTTTTTTACTATACATTTTAAGCATTGTCTTGCATTTGTAAGAATAAAAATAAGGTTAATGCTTTAGTGGAAAGCATTTGCTTAAGGTATTTACTTTTTACTTTTTAGTTTTTTTGCTAGACTAAAAGTGTCTGACCACTTTAACCATTTCTTAACCAAAAAAATTTGGTGTACGCAGTGCCTGTCTATATTGCGACGTCCCTTAAAAAAAAGAATGCGCTCTTTTTTGGGTAGAGGCATGGCCCCCGTTGCCCCCCCCCATGTATCCGCCCTTGCGGCGGACTAGGTGAGTACAAAACGCGCGAGTCCAAACTTAACATACATAAATGTATGAGCTGATGCGTCACCAGATATATGAATATTTGTAACATTTCTCTCAAACCTTTCTTTTTAACTGTATAAAGTCCTGAATTTGTTATATTCCTTTAAATTTCGTTCGGAAAAGGAAATCGAAATTTTGAAAAAAAAACACGTATATAGCAACTTTAATAAACAGAAATTTACGGTAAATATGCGCATCTTGTTCACGGGGCAAAAAGAGCACGCGTTGCTTGACGCGGCCGGTGTAGCGTGAATATCAGATCGACTCTGTGGACTCGTTGGTAGTATTGCGCATGCGTAAGCATGATAATAGCCTATAAATAGGTCTATTACAGGAGAGTGGCCTGTCACGTGCGAGGGATTAACCAGTAATAGCGAAAAGGAGTCAAATTTTCATAGAAGTCGAATTTTCATAACACCGCGTTCATATTTTCATATGAACACACGATTGGACTTTGAAGCGCAAAAGTTTTCGATTGATAATGCGTACACGGCAACGCGTGTAAAGTAGCCCCGGAGGCAAGATGGCGTACACCCGTGAAAGTGCTTATTAAGGAGAAACAAAATACCAAATAAAGTTTAATCGCTTTAGGCTCAGGGAGCATGCAGTTAGAATTAGTGCTTACTTAGAAATATGCTTCTTTAACTCGATTTGTATATTGTATCGTATATGTTATGTATAAGAATCTCTCTAGATGCACATAATAATTATCACAATTTTTTTTTTTACTTATTGAGGCTCCGTTTTAATGGCATCCAATGTCCAAGGATCAGGTTGTGTTGTAGGACCACGCCCACACGACAGGAGGCTGTCGGACAAATAGCGTCTTCTTGCTTCATGTACTGAGTCCATCAAACCATGCCGTATCGCTCCTTGAGTTTTCTCTCCAGCACCGATGCCAGAAGGTGGCACATTTCGAACTGAAGCTGTTGAAGTCTTTGTGAACGAAAAAGGAATGAATGAGGAACAAACAACTCGTCTCAAATTTCTGTAATTTAAAGCTATAGACACAATAAAGAAGAACGTATACTTTGGTCATGGTATGTGTTTTGAGAGACATATTTCTTTTTTTGACGATATGTATCATAACCTATGTATGAGAATCTCTCTGACAGCTCAAACCTATAGGGTATACTCAAGATTTGATTGACAACTTTTTAGTTGTCTTTGATCAAGGTTGTTAAGGATATATTTTAGCTGAGGTACATGTATTATAGGCGTTTGTTAGTGATGTTACTTGACTATCAGCTGATGGAACGGGAACCAGTGGCGCATCTAAGAGGGGGCGCAAGGCCTCCACTCCCATGCCCCGGCCCCGCATTGTATACCCACATGGAGAATTTAGGGAAGGAAAAGTGTATGCTATGCCTCTTGCTTATAACGCATTGAGTGCTCCCTTGCAAATTAGTCTCCCGTTACGTTACTGACGTGTGTCCTTTCCTCCCACATCCAGGAAATTAACGACGTCATTTTGTATAAACATGAAACGTGAATTGATGGATATTATTATAAGTTTACATATTGCTAAAAATGAAAATAAAATTATCAAATCTTTGATTTGTAAACTTTTCAAGTAAAATTAATAAAGTGCTTCAACAACCGTGATTTTTCTAGTGATTTGTCCAGAATGGCTCATGTACTTTTGACTTCATATGATTTTGCACCTGTATTTCATTCACATCGCCTAATATTGTATATGCTGTTGTATTTTCGTTTTGAATATAAGTATGGAAATAAATGTGATACTGATTGATTGATTGAAGAATTAAGGCATTGTAATTGGCATACCGGTACACAGTGTTGTCATGGTGTTCCATAGATGCTATGTAGGTTTCCAGCCACGTCAGATTGGTTGCCAGGTCAACAGAAATGACGTAGTCGTCATGACTTAGCGTATTCTGGAACTCTCTCACCATGTCCGAAAAGTTCTTGTAGTGACCACGATTCTGATCGGGAAATAATGTAATTGTTTGGCTCACCCCACGATGTTATAATCAATCAACAAAAACTTAATAATGCATGTCAATCGCTTGATCTCATATAGATTGCTGAAATTTAACTTAGCCGTGCACGGTGCTCATCTGAATGGATCTAGCAATTAAGTGCAACTGACGGTATTGGCTCTAACAGAGGGAGAATTCCCACTTCCAGGGACTCAAAGCGCCCACCGTCGCCCGTCCCATGTGGGGGTCTGGAATGGGAGACATTTGAGACGTTGGTGGCAACAAACACACCGGTCCTTTTCAATTGTTTACGTCATTATGCATAAGCTTAAAAGCTCGCCGCATGCTAAATATGAGGCAAACAATGGATATTCGCTCGTACCCCCGCCCTGTAAACGGGACGTTTTGAAAGGGGGGGGGGGCCTGATCTCTTTGAGCTCTCATTGGATAGATTTTGCGTGACCTGTGACGTAGCATGCAGCGCTGCTGCTGTTTATCATACGGGTGCACACCGGTAAATAGGCCTAAACACAAATCATAGAGTATTATATGGCCTAAATCCATCCGCCGAGCTCATAAATCATAAGTTATCCCCTCAAAAAATTATATACTAAATAGTTCTGATAGCCAAACAATTGGGAAGGTGAAAAGTTATGGCAATGAACATCCGGCCCAGACTTGGGGCTTCCATTCTGAGCATTTTGGATGCAATGCACTAAAAAAAATCTTTCGATCTACTCAATAAAATTAATGCAACATTGTTGCTTTAATTCGATTACGTCATTTCAACTTGTAATATTTTTTAAGTTATCGCCACTTCAGTTTTTAAGTAAGTTGGATCTACTAAAAACACTTAAGGCAACCCACTTGCCTTAATTGAAATCAGTAAATTCAACTTGATATAATTTAAGTAATTGCAATTAAATTCAAAGGGGATCCAGTAATTAATAAAATAATGGAATTATCTACTACGTTGTTAGATTTACCAAATTGTAGTGCTGCTACATACTTCAGGGTATCCTCACTTATCACAACTATTCTCATGCAGTACACTTTATAACGAAGTTCCAAGTTAAATTTTCATATTTAATATCGACAGCAGTAGTGAAAGAACGTGTGCACTGTTTGCATTTACTCACTGCTCTCAAGACAAGACTCCTCGCGCATTCACTGAAGTGCTTGATTTACAACAGGGATACGATGGCCGCGTAATGCCATTTAAAGCTAAAGTCCATCATTTGCAGCTATCCGAAAAGTAGCTGGCGTAATTATTGTTGAAAAACATACTTGGTTGAAAGATAGTAAGGGGACTAAACTCCCTGTGAAATTATTCTTTCTGGCAAGCTGTCATTTTGAAGGTAATCAACGAAAGAAGGCCTTTCCAACGGTGCTTCTTAAGACGCACTGTAGGAAAATTTAAATTAGTAGTTCGTTTTGTTATTCGGCGAAGCGCGCGCAAGCATTGGCACGACGCACACGCACCCCCGGCTGCTATTATTCGTCAGATCAGTGCGCGACATCGCGTAGCTGCATTCGGCTCAGCGAGAACGTGTCTCGGACGCTGAATTCAGGCGCAATTCAAAACATGATTCAGCAACTTTTGATTTGAAATTGAGATCCTAGAATGCTGTTTTTCTCAGAATATATCCTCGAGAGACCAGTTTTCGCGGGTATAGGGCTTTTTCTTTGTTTTGACAAAAATTAACAAGTGCAAGATACCAATGGATGTCCTATTTACCTTCCTTAGTTCATGGGCAATATGCAAACAACAATAAAAACTGGACGACCTTCGCAGTTTTCACACAACGGAACGATCTCCGACGTCCTCGCGAAGCGCCTCCACGCGTCGAGCGTGACCTATTTCCGTGGGTTGCGGGGGGTACGGTGTCCCGGTAAAGTCATACGTGGAATAAATGTATGTCTTGACTCGGCGTGTCTCCATCAGGCTCCATTGTCGGTAGCTATCTTATATTTTCCAAAAACCAACCTTCTATACTTCGAAAATATATCATATGGTATTAAAGCTATAAATTTCAAATGAAAAATAAATAAATGACATTTTACAAATTTTTCTTTGCTTTTCTACTTTCAGGTTTTCTTGAGTGGTCGTGTTTTATTTTTAATTGTAGCCTATTTCTTATTAAACCTAAACCTCTGTAAATCATAGCTGACCTCATTTGACCTTCGACCTTTGACATGAAATATATCCTACATCATCTTTGGTACTTAATTAGGTCAATTTTTCATGTAAATTCAGACGAATAGGCCTACTTAGGTAACGAGAGTAATTAAAAAACATTAAATAAACTTTAACATACGAACACAACGGTCACATGAAATGTTAGGACTGGTGTCTCCCGAAACATTCGTTTGGGCAACACAAAACTTCAATCGGCAAACTTGTAAATGTAATTTATAAATGGGCAATTGAAATGTATCGTTTCGAGTTTCCTGCCTGGAATATGATCGACTTAACGTACATTCAGTGATCTTGCCTTTTTTTTGGGGGGGGATTTGCCGGGAAAAAAAACGATTGCTGAAATGGGAAGTTTCCTATTTTTACTAAAAAGTTGGAAATGAAAGCAGTTATCCCCAATGGACCCCTACACATATCCCCACTTTTGAAATATTAAAAAGGTTTCCAGCTGGGGTCTTTATTTGTTTTCTTTTTTATGACGATAATTTCTCCTCTGAAAATGATTAAGAATGAATGAAACTGAATAGCATTTACTGATTTGCAGGCTGCAGACAAGGGAGACCATGACAGGGACAATAAAATGTATCCTTTGCTCGTAGACGGGTTACACTACAACAGTACTTGATGTGTGTCCAGTGCATGCAGTTCTCGAACATGCATTGGCCCCACGAGGTGAAGTAGATGGACTCAGCGAGTTCAATGGGGCGGACTCGGCGACAAACACAGCACTTGTCAGCAGTGTCATCGATATCCGAGGCGCTGTCGTTATCAGATGATGGCGGTGCTCTTGTTGAAGCGATGATGTGTTGCAGTGCGGGAGGACTGCTTGGGCCAGGTTGAGACTGTTGAGAAGATATGGTGTGAACCTTCTTTGCTTTTGTTTTGAGTGGTCTGGATGTTGGGGTTTTCTTGCTCTCGGCCTGATATGCAGCGATCTTGTTCCTGCATACCTCTTCTGTGATGGGCTTTCCTGATACTACAGAGCTAAGGCATCGCCTCTTTTTTGGAACCTTTCAATAGAGGAAACATAGGCAGCAAATAAAACAATTATTTCCTCACAGAAAAATAGACATAAAACAAGGTAATTGAAGCCGGGAAAATTCCTGAATTAAAATAGTGTTATAAAAACTTAAATTTTATAAAATGATCGCAAAGAGAGCGACATGTACCTTTTTTCTTTGTCCGATCGAGTCTTCTCTCTCCTTAAACAGATCTGGTCTGACATCATGGAGGCCACCATCTGCAGATGAATGGTCACCTTGCGGGCCAACCTCCGATACTTGGGGGAAATCCCCTTCTTTTGTTGCTGGGTTAGAGGTGCACTTGTTTAGAGCTCTAGCCGGAGCGTACATGGCACGATCAACGACACCACTATTCAAAGGGTAAATCCCTCCTTTCTTGAAAGAGCTCCTTAAGTTCTCTGGAGAGAGGGCCTTTGTATATGCATTGCATGCAATCTCACAGACTGAATATCTATCAATCCCTGTCGTTGAGTTGGCTCGCATTTGTCGGTGGCAGAGGGAATTATATATCTTCTCAAATGGCCCAAAGCATGCTAGATCAAGTGGCTGTAGGACGTGACTTGTATGTGCAGGCAAGACAAAGAGCAAGATGTGTTGATCTCTTGCCCAGTCAATCAGTGGTAGGTTGATGTGAGATCGATGACCATCATAGAGAAGGAGTATTGGCTCATCTTCCGTTCGGCTCGCAGTGACATATTTCAAGAAGTGTGTTGAAAGGTATGTCATGAAGACAGCAGTATTCGACCAACCACTTTCGCTGACGGTCCCATCTGTTCCAGGTAAGCAGCCATTGAGTAGCTCCTGCCTCATACGTTGTCCTGGGAATACAAAGTATGGAGGTACTTGCTGACCCAGAGCATTCCCAGCACCGATGATGGTAACGGTCATCCCTCTGCCGCTTGTCACAGCAAGTGGGGTGGATGAGGAGGACGAACCAACGATGAAAGGTGGGGAATGGTTTTGTTTCAGACCCTTTTCAGGTGCATCCTTCAATTTGTATTTTGTCAGCACCTCATCGAGCTTGGCGAAGTATGCCATCACTACTTCTTCAGAGGTTGCCTTCGCTCTGTACAGATCCAGGCTACGTGGCTTCTTGACACTCAGCTCAGGCCATCTGGTCATAAAGTTGCGAAACCATTTGAGGCTGAGTGGATGATCTTCGTCCCTTTTGTTGAGACTGACAGCATATATTGTGGCTGTATCGATAACTTCGGCCCTGCTATATCCATAACCCAGTAGCGCCATCTTCTTCAGGTGGTCCACCAAGTTGTTCTCCTCTTCGAGGCTGAACACAGGAGCTGGTCCCGATCTTGTTGCTTCGGGGTCAACCTTCCCCAGAACACGATCCCGTAATGTGGACTCAGGGACCCCGTACCTCCTCGCAGCACCCCCAACTGACCCATTCTCATCAATCACGAGACAAAATGCTTTTGACAAAGCTGTTGGTGAGTAGTTTCTGTAAGAAGTTGTTCTGGATTGCAACAGAGGGCTTGTGCACATGTTCTATAGGATAAGAACATTTATATAGATTTTGCTATTGGTGTCACATAATCAGTTGCTCATAAAACTAGTTAATATAATATTTTAATATAATATAATATTTTATTAAGAATCTTCTTTTTATCAGATATAAATCAACCTTTGTTGTGCATTATTGTTGAGTTTGGAGTAATTATTTAAGTATTTATTTAAGTAGGCCTATATCATTCATTTTACTCTGATAATGTATAGTCTTATTAAAGAAAGCACAACACACGCTCTTTTCATGAACAAATGTATATTTTTAATATCTCACATGCACATTAATAACCGTCTTATACAAAATAAGCCTTTGCTGTATGTTAATTCATTCCTTCATTTTGAGGAAAATACCAATTTTTCTAGACAGTGAGAAAAATGATATAAGCCACATGTCTTTTATAGGCCTCCGTACTTTTTTCCCATCATGCTCGGCACTCAAACCAGTCACGTGATTTTGATCATTACGAATTTTTTTTCGCAACTTTGTAAGCTGAAACTTTCAATGATTATGCAATAATTATTTATGGCTCTAGCAATATAAACATGTTTTGTACCTTGCGTATTAGGCCTAAATAACCCAAATTTTGATATTTACAAGTACAACTTACCGGTAGAGCCTTTACTTTCCACATTTTTGGGTCAGCGGAGAGGAGAGGAGATTGTCAGCAACTAGAAAAGTTTATTTCGTCACGGGGAGTTGTTTACAGCGCGCCGCGTAACGCAGAAGGTAAGGACCCGGAAATAGGGCACCGCGAAAACAGGTCTTCCCACGATACAGCTGAAGCTGAGCTGAAACTTTATCAGGTTAGTTGTTCAGTACCCTTCTTTAGATTTTGAGCACTTTTGTTGCCTCAAACGAACAAAATGCACAAATTACAAATGATGGACTATAACTTTAATATAATCTTCAAAAACACTCAGAAGTCATTAGAATAACTCCTTTTCTGTTGGTTGGTTGGACGTAAATACACCCCCCGAAAAACTATATATTATGTTCGCACGAAAAGCAATTTAATGTCAAATACATACAACCTAATATTAAAACAATTTTTATTGAAAATTTAATTTATCATTGAAGACTTAAATAATTTAAGTTATACCCACTCTGTGTGATATACGTGTTCATTACTCCAACTTACTAATCAAAATATTTTACATGAGGTTAAGGACTCTTTTATCGATATTAGCTTTACTTAGCTTTGTTGTGTTTAAATGACGTAAATACTTCACGGTGCATCAACAAGTTACTGGATTTAGTATTTAGTACTGAAATGAATCAAGCGCACATGATGAATCTGTTAACCAAAAGGTTTATGTATGATTGACTCAATGTTAAATGATGTTGTCTTTACTCATTTTCTTCGTGTGGATGACACTTCAGAGTAATTTCGTGTAAATACTTCATATAAGTGTCCACGCTAAAAACAAAATCGAATTTTTAAAATTTTTTTGGGATGAAAGGACTTAGGGAGCAAGTAACCAAAATAGACTTTTTAAACTTTTATTTTGCCCGTTGCCATGGTTACGGGCCATTATGTGTTTTGGCCATTTGGGGGCAATTTTGAGGCTGCAAAAATTCATTTTTCGCGTTATTTTCAAAGCTCATCCAGCCAAACTGCAAAGTAATGTCACAAAAGTAACTATATCACGACAAAGTATCATCCTTACCTTTACAAGAAAAAAATAAAAACACTTCTGAAAAATCTTCTTTATACTATTTTTAGACCCTATAATACAGCATGTTTTTACAAATAGCAAAACTGCATTTTTTACCCCATTTTTATCCCTCCAAAATGGCACTTGCCAGGGCACTCAGAATAATTTTCCTTCGGTTATGGTTAGTTCAGACATTGGTCTTTTCATATCTGGTGAGAAAATTTTGGGTTATTGTATAGCCTTTGTGCAGTAGCGCTCCAAAAATGGTAAATTTCACAAAAACCTTAAAAAGTGTATTTTCAGTGTTTTCCTTTGTTTTGAGTAATAACTTGTATAATTGGTATTGTTCATGAATCTAGCACATTTTTACAAACATAATTAGACTGTGTATTATTTTTTAGACCATTGGGTGAATAGTAGGTCGTGTACTTCCCCCACACCTGGCTAGGCCCCGCCTACTCCCCCTGTGCCACCGAATTTTGAACTTGTATGTTGCATAACGAAACAAATGTAAATATACAAGTGAGCACTTTAGAAATAACATAGAATTCCTTTTCACAGCCTCCCTTTCCCCCACCCCGGGGGCATTGCTTGGGGTTGAGGGTGGGGTGTGACCACCCACCAATAACTTAGCATTGTCGGTACAATGATAATTGTCACATGGGCAAAAATCATGTGTTTGCAAGCCGCAATGAATAATGGCCATATCCACTGTCCTCTGATTGAAGTGCACCATCATTCCAATGATGTCCAGTCCTCCCAGCTAGGCCCCGCCCCTTCCCTTGCCACCAAATTCAGATTTTGATTTCTGCATGTATTTGCCTAAATTAATATTGTAAATAGATGTCAATTTGCCAGTGAAGCTTTCATAATCTACACCAACAGGCGTACCCGTCTCACAGCCCACCCCGTGCCATCCCTCTTCCTACTCCAGTGCTCATTATGAGCAACTACCCCTCCCCTTCCAAAGAATTGTACAGAATATGTATTATTGTTAAGGATACATACTGCCTTGCGGAAAGTCCACATATTTACATACACTATGTAGGTTTCGCCATTTTTTTTGTCAACGTGGGAGTGGTTTGGAATATCTGGAAAGCGCAGGGGGGGGGGGGGTGTAATATGGATACATGTACATGGTACATGTACATAATGCTGAAATTTGTTTTAACAAAATTGCATTTATTTTATTATTTTCAATACAGAGCAGTGATATGGCGATTACGAGAGCAAATAACTCATATTTTTATATAAAAATACATGTACTTTAAAACAACTATCACTCTAGTGAAAACTCAAAATGGCCTCCCTATTGATTGATTGAATTGAACGTGTAAATATGGTCAGATCAAGCACGTGGCCACACTTCTGTGGTGCATCCATTGTGAAATGGCAAGCAATCTAAATGTATTGGTGCTTATAAATTACAGGGTTTTTTTGTATACAAGCAGGGAATGTCTTGTTAATGTGTTAATTAAAAAAAATCAACTTCCCCACCGAACCACAAGTGCTTACAGATTTTAACCCTTTCTGGCGGGTATTATGGGTTTTTTTTCTGAAAGGAAGGGGGAAAAGCACACTGTGATCCCATGTTGATTTGCATATACTTTGACCAATTTTCCTACAACCGATTTGGCAGGAAAATATTGGTTGACCATTACTCTATGATATGACATTCTTGGTTCTATTGCTGTTACCACTAGAGGTGTTTTTTATATATTTTTTTCCAAACTCTTGTCTAGATAACATTTTGGGCATAATTTCTGTATTTTTGTGTAAACATTCATCCCTGTCAAGCAATTGTATGCATCCATTGTCACTGCCATAGGGACTTATAATTACTGATTTTATTCCAAAAATGTGTGGGTTTTCAACCCGAATTGGCAAAACTAAAGTAAATATACACAATTGTGGTGATGTTATTTAATGCTCTGCAATTCATTCATGTAATAACTATAAGAAACGTACATCAAAACAAACAAAATGGTACAGATTGAAAGGTGAAAATTATACATGCGCTTCTCGTACCAATGGCGGCCACGTTACATACTGAGCATGTATTGTTGTTAATTATATAGCCATGAATTTCAGTCATAGGATAATACTTCCGTGATAGGCTTTGAAAATGGAAGTATTTTTGACTTAAGTTTATAAGCACCGATGTCTTTACAACGGTTGCCATGGTAATAATAAGCACATTACAGAAGTGTATTTGGTGCCACAAAACTTAATGTTGATCAGGCAAATACAAATTCGGAGGACACTTCCACTAAAAAAAATACTTCAGACACTACATGTATATAGCCAAGTCAAGTCAGAGTGAAATTCATGCAATCAAATTGATGCTGTGTTCTCTCGGAGCTTTCACTGGAGTGATCGTTGTTTTAAAGTACATGTATTTCAATATAAACAAATAAGAGTTAGTTGCTCTCTAAATCGACAGATCTTTTCCGTTTTGAAAATTATAAAATAAACGTCATTTTGTTCACCACACCTTTTACTGTAATTCCAAAGTAGCTTGCAATATAAACAAATGTGTACAGCGTACATGCATGTGTCCAGATCACCCTTCCCACCCCCACCCCCACCCACCCCTGCGACATACACACCCCTTCTCCTCCTCACTTTTCTGATATTTCAAGCTGCCCCGTGTTGTTAAAAAGCAACCTTACATAATTCAGACTTTCCCCAAGGCCATATGCATGTATGTAATCTCAACAAAATTGTACTTGTTGACTTGTTGGGGAGGGCGTGGTTCTCTTTGAGCTTTGGGAGTGGGGGTGGCAGGGGAAGGGGCTATCTGTGAAACGGCTGTTGGTGTAGATCGTAAAAAGTTCACTTTTAAATTGATATCAAGTATTTACAATTTAATTTAGGCAAATACATGCAGAAATCAAAATCTGAATTTGGTGGCAAAGAAAGGGGCGGGGCCTAGCTGGGAGGGGAGGACTGGACATCATTTGAATAATGGTGCACTTCATTCAGAGGACAATGGATATGGCCATTATTATTCATTGCGGCTTGCAATCACATGAGTTTTGCCCATGTGACAATGATTATACCGACAATGCTAAGTTATTGGTGGGTGATCACACCCACACCCCACCCTCAACCCCAAGCAATGCCCCCGGGCGTGGGGGAAGGGGAGGCTGTGAAAAGGAACTCTATGGTATTTCTAAAGTGTTCACTTGCATATTATTTAGGCCAAAAAAAAAGTCTCCGGTTTCTGGTGTGGAGCTTGCCCAAAAAGTGGTGCGGCGACGCGGCTTTTTTTTTTTTACCTGATTGTTTTGCTTCAAATGTCGGCTGATGACTGCAAATGGTGCCCGACTAAACTTAGTGCAAATATATGGGAGTCCAGAGAGGCCACATAAAGCTTATTCTCGACCATAACCCAATCTAAAAACACGTTAAAATTGTGCAGCAGCATGATTCCAGTCAAACCAGTGAGTTTGGCGGTTTTGAGACATCATCTTTCATTGAAAAAAAAAACTTTTTCATTTTGCCGACGCGCATGGCAACGGCAACGTCATGTTTTATTTTCAATGAAATAGTTTTAAAAAAATGAATAACATAATATAATACATTTGCGGGGTGAATATACATGAGAGGTCACCCACTGAAAAAAGGCGCTCTCTCTCTCTTGCCCACAATATTTCAAAAAAGGCGTATATGGACCTTATAGGTAGCAGTCATCAAGGCAATACATTGTCTTGCTGTGACATACCAGAAATAAACCTTTTAAGCACTCATTGTTGCTGAATTTAAATAACAAATGATGCCCTATAAGACGGCCGCTATACTCATAAAGTCTACCCATGAGGTCTAAGAAATACGAAGGGTGCTCAAGTTTAAGGAATAAGTCAATCTGGCATGGCCTACGTCAAAGTGAAAATGCACAAAACGCTGCTCCGTCCCATAAATTCAAAACTTTTATTTTTCGATTCATTGACATTCAACGGTTGTATTCAAAAATGCTATCAAAAGCTTGGAAAACACAACGACTATCCTCTATCAATAGAATTTCTGTAGAAATATAACTATGCAGTTTTTCTAGTATATATTTTCCTGCTCAGTCTTGCAATTGACTTTGTATTTCGTTATAATGCAACTCAAAATAATTATAATATACACGACTACATGTAATTGTCGCACAGATTTTTCATATCATTCAGGGAATTATTGTAATTAAGGGAATTATTGTTGTTAATGTATTTTTACTCTGTTGGACGGTTTTTAATCAAATTTGGTATACTACTTTTAATTGGATAGCTGTATTTTTGGGAGACGGGTGTTTTTACCAATTAATCTGAATAAATAAAGTATTATTCCATCCTGTATGCTCATTGTCTCTGTCCCTTTGCCAGATTCATGCTATTGTGTCTCATTCAGTGCACATCACTGGAGTTCGTTTCATTCCCTTAAACGCGTTTCTATCATTCCGTTCCCCCTGTGAGCGTCCTTCGTTTGTCTTCTAAGGCCCCTCAAAAAGTCTCCGGTTTCTGGTATGGAGCTTGCCCAAAAAGTGGTGTGGCGACGCGGCTTTTTTTTTTTTTTTTTAACCTGATTTTTTTGCTTCAAATGTCGGCTGATGACTGCAAATGGTGCCCGACTAAACTTAGTGCAAATATATGGGAGTCCAGAGAGGCCACATATAGCTTATTCTCGAACATAACCCAATCTAAAAACACGTTAAAGTTGTGCAGCAGCATGATTCCAGTCAAACCAGTGAGTTTGGCGGTTTTGAGACATCATCTTTCATTGAATTTTTTTTTTCATTTTGCCGACGCGCATGGCTACGGCGACACGCGCGCATACCAGAAACCGAAGACTTTTTTTTGGCCTTATATACATTTGTTTCGTTATACAACATACACGTTCAAAATTCGGTGGCACAGGGGGAGTGGGCGGGGCCTAGCCAGGTGTGGGGGGAAATACACTACCTACTATTCATCCAATGGTCTAAAAATGATACACAGTCTGATTCTGTTCGTGAAAATGTGCTAGATTCATGAACAATACCAATTAAACAAGTTTATTACCCAAAACATGGAAAAAAATGAAAATACACTTTTTAAGGTTTTTGTGAAATTTACCATTTTTGGAGCGCTACTGCACAAAGGCTATACAATAACCCAAAATTTTCTCACCAGATATGAAAAGACCAATGTCTGAATTAACCATAGCCGAAGGGAAATTATTCCGAGTGCCAAGTGCCATTTTGAAGGGATAAAAATGGGGTAAAAAATGCAATTTTGCTAGTTGTAAAAACATGCTGTATTAAAGGGCCTAAAAGTAGGCCTAATATAAAGGAGATTTTTCAGAAGCGTTTTTATTTTTTCTTGTAAGGGTAAGGATGATACTTTGTCGTGATATAGTTACTTTTGTGACATTACTTTGCAGTTTGGCTGGATGGCCTTTGAAAATAACGCGAAAAAATGAATTTTTGCAGCCTCAAAATTGCCCCAAAATGGCCAAAACACATAAAGGCCCGTAACCATGGCAACGGGCATAATATCGGATTAAAAAGTCTATTTTGGTTACTTGCTCCCAAAGTCCTTTCATCCCACAATGTATATAAAAAAAAAAAAAAAAAAAATCAAAAAAAAAAAAAAATCGATTTTTTGAGCGTGGACAATTATATGAAGTATTTACACGAAATTACTCTTAATAAATAAAGTACAATTCACTTTTAAACTCAAGTATCAACATAAAAGCAACTAAAATTGAGTTTCAAGTATTATTTAATCATTAAATTGATTCAATATTAATTCAGTCAGGGTTCATTTTTTTTAGTGTGAGGCTCGAAAGTGCTATTTTGCCATGTTGTGGAGGAATCATTTTTCAAGATGGCTACTTCTCCACTTTGGAAAAAATAGGGGTCGTCTTCTTTGGGTGAGAATATCTCGAAAAGTCAATGGTCAACCCACCCAAAAATGAAAAGAAAATGAAAGGTTACATATTTATCATCATTTTTCTGTGCAGCTTAAATACCTGTGAGAGTTTTTAGTTTTTTACAAGAATTTTGAAGTATGGGCATTTAATTAGCACTGGTGTATACGGGAATTTTAATTCAGGGGTGCATCCTATTACGTAGTGCGCGCTAGCTGCATGCGATCGGTCATGATAAGTTCCCCATAAATGCCATCCGTATTTCCTTCAAAAGATCATGCGAGGCGGCATCAGCACTTTCCAGCGCTCTGTTTCCAGGGCGGGGGGGGGGGGGGGGTTTGAGGTTACGAGCAAAACAATGGAAAAGGACCGGTGTACTGTGGTTGCTGCCACCAGCGTCTCAAAAGTCTCCCAGTGACTTATTAACAGGAATTAATGTCTGTACCTGGGCTTGATACAGCTTTAAACAACAACAACTCCAAGTTTGTATACATGTATGTCCAAAGTAAAAGGACGATTAAGATCAAGCCAGGAAGCAGCTGCTCTCGGTCATGAAACTTCACACTTGAGCAGAGACACTTTTCCACATTCTTTCCGTTTGCACAAGCTTCCCAAGCTGTCAGTATTACAATAATTAAACGTGAATCGCAGTGAATTTACATTGCTGCTTGTACGTCCTACCTGCTTGTCTATCATTTGGCGAACTTCATTGTGCTGTCTCTGGATCATGTATTCCTTCTTCTTTTGGACAGCCTATAAGAAACGAATAATTATCGTAAAACATGTCAATTCTTATATGACCACTGCCGTGGAATGTCCATCTCCACCGTCCTCGTGTAAGGAAAGTTTGAACCTTTTACTGATACCAGCATAATGTACATTTCGGGTCACTCCCTCCAGCACAACTTTTGGATTCCATGTTCATGGGTTACCACGTGAATGCGCAATCCCTCTAGTCCTTTGAATTTATTTCCATCCATTATACAAACAACAATCTTTGTATACTGTGCCCATAAAAAATATCTTTACATTTTTGCGTCATTCTTTACAGATTGAAAGCTCGCTAAAAAGAGAAGTATGATTCTATGAACCAAATTGCTCAAGTCTCCTCGTCTTTCATGCCCAAATGTATTTTATCACCGGCCGATTCAAACCTATTGTAATACGTGGCAAATGTGTATGGGTAACACTGAAACGACATTATTATCGTTGACGTCATGAAATCACATGACGCAGCACAGACTTTTACCTCTTCCTTCTCAAGCTCTTGTTCCCGCCTGTAGGCCTCGGTAGCGTCATGAATATTCATTATGATCATTCCAATGAAGACATTGGTGAAAATGAAATGACCCAGAAATATGAAGGCTATGGTGTAGAAGCGACTTCCTGTCATGTTACGCTTATCCAACTCAGCTTGCAGATCTGTCCAACCATCCACCTTAAAGAAGAAAGCAATTTATCTTGCCTGGTGACTTCGTCACCATAGACTTGGCCCAACTCGGATGCCGCCTTTGGTCTGCACAATATGCGTACAGATATACGTAAAGACTTGATTAAAGTCTACGCTATGGATATTTTTTTTCTAATTTTTTGAATATCCTGTAGATTTACTTGTTCAAGTTTTAAATTCGAAAGTCCTCGTGCGAGGAATTCATATACTGTTGCTCTTCTCATCATGCAACAATACATGATGAGAAGAGCAACATAACTTAATGCACACAGTTCATTGGTCAGTCAATCAGTCTATCTTTAAGCTGGTATGAAATGGGAGTCTTTTTTTAGATACTTGGTGGCAACAAACGCACTGCTCAATTGTTATTTTATTTTATTGCCCTATATACCTGGACATATTTCTCATGCAGGTTTAGTAATTTGGATTCAGTAATTACGGGTAGAAGAAAGTGTCTACTCATACGTATCACAAAGGAACAAAAGACATCATCAATGGTGACACCTAATGCATGGGGTCACGATAGAGTGACCGCACCTTCTTGAGACGAACGTTTGGAATGAACATGCGCTAGTTACAGAATGTGAAATTGAATTACCGTGACATAGCTGAACAATGTGAGCATGGCAGAGCCTAGGTTGCCCCAGTGTTCCTTGTCACTCCCCTCATTGTAGCCGAAGAAGTAATAGCCCATGATACCGAATAGGAACATCATGAGAAGCAGCAGAAGGACCACGTTGATGACAGAATTTCTGATGGTGTCCAACAAAGCAGTCACGAGAACCTTTGGGTCGTGGTATACAAGAGAAAGCAGAATATGATCGTGCGTGAATGTTATTTTTGCATAAGTGTGATGACGATAATTAATTTTGTAACGTTTCATATTTTGCACTTTTTGCTGCGGTATATCGCAATAAGTCTAATTCCTGGTGAGAGAATATCTTTGACCGAAACTCGAAATTGCAATCTCTTTATATCATACTGTGGGAGCCCACCCAGGGCACTGCCTTAAGGGAGAAGAAGTCTGACCTTTGTGGACCAGCTCAAGAGGGACACTGATCTCACATCTGCAGGGGAGCTGCGCACCTGCATGGTAGATCGAGACAGCTGGAGGAAGAGGACTCAGGGACTGGCTCGTGATGTCGTCACAACCCAGGCGACCCCGACATGATGATATCATTATGTGGAACGCATTATGGACCGTGTTGTGGTGTTTCCCGTGCTCTTCAACAAATTCGATTTTTTTTTATTTATAAACTTTCAACTTTTATGTTTTACCCAACTTTTATGTTTTACCTGGAGACCACGAACAAAGGAAACAGTTCTCAATGTCCTCAGTGTTCGTAGCGCCCTCAACGTTCTCAGCGCACCGAGGTTAGTTTGTCCTCCAGCCACGTGGATCAGAAGTACCTGTCTCGTCGAGAGTCGACATAAAGTAAGCTGATACTTGAATCACATTTTAGTCAGCGGGCTAAGAGCTTCAAATGTCTTGCTTTATAAGATCTGTCCTACATTACCTTCCCACTCCTACACTTTAGTGTGCACCATCGTTACTGGTTTGCTATAATAAAACGGCAAAGAAACCGTTTTCAAAGTTTATGAAAACGCAACACTGAATCGGAGGAAAAAGAGGATGCAATAATGATTTCTCAGTCTCGTAAAAAATACACAAATATGTATCCGAAGATGCAGTTCTACTTTTCTGAAAGATCTATAATACCAGCCCGCCTTTTCTGTGATCTATCTTTGAATACCGCTTCTCACTATCTCCTTCAGAGATGTAAGATAATGTATGACATAGGAAAGTGGGATGTATCACATGGGAAAGTGGGATAACGATATCCTGAGATAATGCATCATGGGATGGTGAAATTGCTGTTTAAGTTTAATAATAATGTCGGGAAATCAACATACCTAAGCTAGAGACTCGAAGTTCTGAACTGTCGACCGAAAATTGTGTTTGGAGGTTACGCCCAAAGTATACCACCGTCCCACTACATCAAATTGGGATGGCCCCACCTATATGGCTGGGCGTACCACGTACCTGAACGTATGACATTAGGAGCACCAGAAGGTCGAATAGGTTGTAACTGCTGTAGAAATATCGGATCGGCTCCGCGTAGATTTTCATCATGAACTCCAGGGTGTAAATGCCTAGAAACAGCTCATCCAGAACAAGGAAGGCTGTTCGATATCTTGCCTATATACAAGAGGTTTTTTTGAAAAACAAATAATGAGAAAAGCTGAGTCTGGTTTCCTGTATCCATCTTCCTGGACCTTGATATTGCCCTGCATTACAAAACTGAGGTTGGAAACGAGAAAATCCCAGGGAACCTGTGAACCCTGATCCAGGGTTTTGAATGGTAATATTTGAATGCCATTGATCAGGATATTCCTTCCGTGCTCATATAGCCGTCCATTAGTAACTTTGTGAAGAATGGGGTCTCGTGTAATTTATCCCATCTTGGAGTGGTTCAAGTTAGTAATTGAGTAATTTTGTTGCTCAAAAAAGAAAAAAGAAAGAAAAGAAAACACCCCCCCCCCCAAAAAAAAAACAGCCCCAACAGCAAATGTTCCTATTTAATTGTTATTTTAGAGCTCATGAGAAAATTAAGGCTTGAACGATTTTTGGAAAATAAAATAATACTTTATCTGAAAATATGCTTCGGTTGGTTTCTCACATGATTTTTTTTCGCGTGAAGCAGTTTTGATCGATTCGGAACTGATTGAACCGATCCGGAACTAGGAAAAGTGACATCGGTACTTTTGACGTCGTAAAAATCAAAATAAAAAGAGCTTATTTACATTTTGAAAATTATTTCGTTGCCTCTCCATCTCAAGGTAAACTTTTTAATCAATGTCACTTGAATTCGTGGAGTAGTTGAGCTGAAAGCAACCTGAATGATGTTTGCTATCCGGAACTAGGAAAACGACTGTAGTATTCGATTTGTTGAAACCTAAAGTCTCATGTAAAATTTGAACTTGGATGTCGACTGTTAAATTTCTGAGCTGAGTTGGGCCTTTATACTCACCTTGAGTGTAAAATCAGTTTCCAGGGCCATTGCAATCGCATTTAGGACTATCGTGAACATGATGAACGCGTTGAAAATAGTGGACTCGGTGATTTTCACGACGAAGCGATGGAAGGACATATCAGGTCGGACCCAGCGCAACTCTGGGCCCTCATCATCAATGATCAAGTCACTACCGCTGTCAGAGACAACACTTTCTTCTGAAATTTTCTTTTGCATTTCCGACATTGTCAGGGCGGAGTAGACGAATCAGTTGAGCGTTCGCTTTAAGCTGAGATCAATCACGGCATGACATGCATGATGTACTTAAGCGACGTGACTGATTTTGGTGAAAGTAATCTTTATTCTCGTCACGTCACATGATAAACACGTTAACTGTCATCAAAGTTAACGATATCGAACTTTTGAACTAATCGGACGCGCGCGTAAACGTGTCAATAAACCATAGATATATAGAATAACGCACATATAATGAAACGTGAACAAAGCGTCGACGCGCAAAAGGGTTGTAATCAGGCGCAAGCGAATATAGACTTGATGACAAGTCGTTAGATAGTCATATTTTGTCTGTGAACTTCAGGCGAACTCCATCGGCGTGGCTGGTATGAGACTAGTTGCGACAAATCTAACGACTTGACGATTATGTTCTCGCACCGTGATTCATTTACGCAAGCAGCGCAATACATATGCAAATAAGTTGTGAAGTTCATGACACTGACATCATCATCATCTAGGCGCTTGCGTCAAGTTGATCTGACATCGCGCACTCTGTAAGTGTTCTCCACTGTTCTCTGTCTGATGCCACGTGCCACGTGCATCGATCCTTGATGTTGACCCCCGTGGTTGTCAGGTCCTTGTTTACTCTCTCCAGCCACGTGGTTCGTTGTCCCCCTCTTGGTAGCTTGTTCTTGCGGATTGCCTCTAGAAGTGCTTGCTTGGCAGGAGCTTCCTCGGGTAGTCTCAGGAGATGGCCTGTCCACCTAAGACGTCTTCGGGTAATGGCAGTACTCCAAGGGATCTCGCTGGTTCTCCTGTACAGTTCTTTATTGGTGATCTTCTTGCAGAGTTGCTGACTCGAGTCATATGTGACTTGGACTCGAGTCGGACTCGAGTCGCTATTTTTGTGACTTGTGACTTGACTTGTAAATAGCAGCTTTGACTTGTGACTTGACTTGGACTTGCAAACAATGACTTGTGACTTGACTTGGGATTGCAAAAAAATGACTTGTTACCAACCCAAGTCAGACGCTAAATCCAGTAAAATGAATAGTTCCCACTAGTTTCAAAAGTTTTCAATAAGACTGTCACAACAAACTACACACGGTTTTCAATGACCAAGTCTCTTGCTTAATGTCATGGTTGAACAAACTTTGAAAGGAACCTTTCATGAAAAGAAAGCAGGCCTTTGTCAATCGCATGTAAAATACCGGATAGCCTAACCCATTGGTAGGCGTTTAGTTTACATGAAAATTGAACAATAAAGTGTAAGTATACTATACATGTAATCGAGTGAGTGAAGTTTTTTTTCATGTCATCTCAGCATTTATTTCTACAATGTAAAGTAAATTTAGTAAGTATACAAAGGGCTAATATCCGACAGATATGTGATAAATTACAAGAATAGTAATTGCAACATTGAAAAAAGGGGAATTAAGGAGGCATGTTCAAAATAACTCGTAAGTTGACGCCAGGTTCTTTTAGCTTATTACAGCTGGACAAAATAATGTGCAACTTGACGTGTTCTTGGACAAAGATACTTGTGACTTGACTTGTGTTTAGACCAAATGACTTGTGACTTGACTTGTGACTGGACCTAATGACTTGTGACTTGACTTGTGACTGGACCTAATGACTTGTGACTTGACTTGGACTTGCAAACAATGACTTGTGACTTGACTTGGACTTGCAAAAAAATGACTTGCTGCCACCTCTGTCTTCTTGGGCCATTTTATATTTAGGATTGAACGCTACAGTCTTCTGTGAAATGCATCAATGTTCTCTTCTAGTGACTTAGTCAATGTCCATAGTTCGCTGTTGTATAGGAATACAGATGCTATGAAGGCGCGGAATGTTTGGAGTTTCGTGTTGTTTGAGATTGCATCACTGTTGAAGACATTCCTGAATTTGTTGAAAGATACCATCGAAAGTATTTTCCTCCTGGTAATATCTTGCTCAGTATCGAGAAAAGATCCCAAGTATTTGCATTTCTTCCAACTGGTGTTGCTTCCGTTTCTACTGATGAGGTGTTTCTCTGTCTTAGACGTGTTTACTGTGAGGTTTCGCTCTTTTAGTACCTCAGGTGCCTTCCTCTCCACAGTTGCTATCGGGTGGATATTGTTACTTGCCCAAGTGATGTCATCAGCGTACTGTAATCCCATCTCAAAGTATGCTGGCGGGCAAATGGCGTAGCTGTGGTTCTCGAGTTCCACAGGAAGGGATTGGGACTGTGTCTGCGTGCAGTAATTGTGATCCTGAAGAGTGAATCGTGTCTCGGATGTTTCCGGGTCAAGTTGTCTCAGTGCTTTTGCCAGGTATAGAGTGAAGAGAATGGGACTGAGGCAGTCTCCTTGAGGCACGCCGATGTTGGTTTTGAAGGGCTTACCCAAGATAGTTCCCACTCTGACTTGCAATCGAACGTCTCTAAGCAAGATTGCCAGTAAGTGGAGTTCGTCTTGACACTGACAGGCAGCTACATAGCCGAGTATAAGTAGTCTGGTCCCGCCCCGACCAAAATATTTCCCTTTCTTTAATGTACACATGTGAAGGGGAACGCGCCTAGTTTTGGCCCTATCAACCTCGTGCCCCGTGGGTACGATCTTGCAGCGCCATGTTGTTTCCCAGCAAGCGCCCCTGGAGTCGAGGCTACTATAATATCCGAAAAACATCGCATGCGGGATCAGAACCACCAGCCAATCACAGTGCGCGCATCTTTAATTATAATATGCTAAATTGAGGCGTGCGGCACTATGATTGGCTGGCTGTTCTGATCGCGTATGCGATGTTTTTTTCGGATATGATATACCATGCGCAGTACCCTTCACGTGTGTATGTTAAAGAAAGGGAAATATTTTGGTCAGAGAACCAGACTACTTCAACTCGGCTAGCTGCCTGTCAGGAACGCCGCATGAACTTCCACTTCGGTTGGCAAATTAATTTTTTTAGAGACGAATTTCACCAGAAGGAAGCACGGGAAAGTCGTAATTTCAATTTGTAATTGGTGCATTTTGTTCGTATGAACCGGGCTTAATACGAAAAAGAGCGCTTTGAAGCGTCAAAAGAGGTCCAGCCCCCCCCCCCTTCCCCGCTTTTCAAATTGGCAGCACTTGTGTGTGGCCTGGAAATTGTTTATTTGTGAAATTACTGCCACGGTATTTCGCGATTCTGGGGGTTTGTTTTGCAATCTGATACGTTTGTCTTAATCCTATTGCGCTAGTTCACAAAAGAGTTTCGCTATTTAACAAGTGTTTCGCGTTATTCGCAATTGCGAATAACGTATAAGTGTTATTTAACACTTATACGTTTTCACTATTTAAGCCGTGCAGAAATCGGCCTCCATACCATACAATCGTAATTAGCGGTAAATAAAGCCGTTCTCAACTTAGAGTTTGCACGAGATTTTTCATTCTTAAGTTGAAATTCTGCAAACGCTGACTCATACAATATCGTTTGGTGTTGGAATGATCGTTGTGCTCAACATTCTAATTAAACACATAACAAAATAATTCCTTAGCGGGCGGCTAATTATTGAACTTTAACTCATTCTTAAGCACAAAATGCACGGGAATATTCATTCTTAAGTTGCGGATCTTGCATTTTGGTCACGTTAATGAGCTTTTAGTGAAAGTTTCGCTCTTGTGCTCAAAATTCTAATTAAAGGTGAATAATTAGCATTAATTAGGCTATTGTTAAGCATGGAATGCACGGGATTTCTCATTCTTATAAGTTATTGGTCAATCAAATACTATATTTTCGCGTTGGAACCGTGCTTGTGCGCGATATTCTAATTAAGTCAATTTTGGGGGTCTTTAGGCGGTGCCCCCTCCCAAACGCATGGGGTGTAACACTTAAGAATGACAGTTTTGAAGATTGGACACCCCCACCTACTCGCTGCCACCATCAAACCTTTTGTGCGCGATATTCTCATTAAACCTCACTGGGCTCTCAGACTACATGTATATGACACTTGCAGGACCTATTTCCGTTCTTCTTGGGTGTGGCAACCCCAAAAAATAAGACATTGGATAAAATAAACTCGGCCCACGGCACATAACAGAATATCCCTGCTATTAGCGTAGTCCGAGTAACTTGGACCCAACTTATCGCCTTTTTTAACATTCGGACATGGTCTGGCGAGGTCCAAGCTAATCCTTATATGCCGAACAACACAATTCTGTCATTGACACAAAAACCCAACATTGCCCAACAAAAACATCAGATTTCACCCTCAAAAGGCCTACAAATTACTAGATACGCCACCTGAGGTATTTTCACTTTTCATCCAGATCGCAAGTAAACTTCAGTGCAACCATCTTAATCATCGATGTCTACTTGTGCCTCAGGTGGCGTATCTAGTAACGGGCCATTTTTGAGGGTGAAATCTGATGTTTTTGTTGGGCAACGTTGGGTTTTTGGGTCAATGACCCTATAGCTACTATCGCCAGACCATGTCCAAAATTGTTCAAAAGGCGATAAGTTGGGTCCAAGTTACTCGTACTACTATTAGCGCAAATTATGTATGTGGATGTCATGCCGGGGGGGGGGGGGGGGGGGGGGTCATGCCGTACAAAGCCGTTATTTGCGATGTCTATGAAACAACCATAAACATGTAACATTATGTGGGGTGCTGTGGTCCAACGGTTACGGTGTTCGACTCGTGTGCCATGGTACATGGGTTCGAATCCTGACCGTGGGAACATGGTGCTTGTGCTCTTGAGCAAGGCACTTTACCATTATTGCTTCGTCCTTTGGATGGGACGTAGGTCCCGTGTGTTGTGTAATGCACGTTAAAAAACCCAGTAACACTTATCGCTAAGAGAAGGGGTTTGCCCCGGTGTTTCTGGCAGTGGCTGCAATATGCGCCGCAGTACCTTGTAAACCATTATAAGGTGCTACATAATGGGTCTCATATTTCTCATAAACTTTATTTACCTTTCTTTAATAATAGACATAATTTCCAGCGCCTTGAGTACCTAATTGTTGGTAGATACGTGCGCTATATAAGACTCCGATATCATTATTATATTATTATAACAACGTTTGGGTGGTTGCTAATCGTTTGTAAAATAATTTCCGGAAACGCAATGCATTCTGGGTAGCTTACTGTGTTAGAGGGCGGAGGGGACAAGCGATTTCTGCATGGGGACAGAATATCCTGATCCTGAGGGGCAAAGTGTCGAGGTAAATGACAGAATAACATTGAGGGAGGCAATGAGAAACTGTGTCCGGGGATCCAGGCGGGCAAAACCAGGAAAACTGTCCGTCGGTGGGCAAATGGTAAAATCATTTATAATACGCATGCGTTGAACATAAAGTGAGTGAATTTTCTCTCTTAAATTGTGTTTAATTTTCAAGTGCTATTATTATGATCGATGGAATACGTGTCATTTTTTTTATGTCTGTGATTCATATGGCTCTGGAGGATTATTTTAAGGGGAAGTAAAGTCTGAAAACCATTCTACCAGTTGACGAATGCGCAAAACTTTGTTGCCAAAATAATAAGGAGATAATAAGGAGCCGGATGGGAATTTCCCCGTGTTTTCTCCCAAAAGCGGGGTTTTCGCCCCCGTCCCGTAATCAGCGAATATAGTAACAGCATGATTGTTTGTTCTTAATGTTACAAGATAGATCCAAATTGTTCGTGTTCACTGAATCCACCTTATAGTAAAGCCTTCACACTGTAAATTTAGTTATAATAGATTAAAAATATATTGTATTTACAATATTTGCTTAACAACTATGCATTAATCAAATAATGTTTTATCCCATTGTATTGAACTGTATTGTATTTGTGATGTATTGTATATACATGTCATTATTTATTGTATGTAGGGCCCCAATGGAAACCAGTTTTAAACTGTTCGGGAATACCCTGGGTAAATAAATGTTATAAATAAATAAATAAATAAATTGACTAACTTGGTTACAGAAAAAAAATTAATTGCGTCCGAGCTGACGAGCAATGCCCTCATTGTCATCAATGGGAGACTTTTGACAGACAATGTCAATAGAGGGCAGCAAACATGAATAACAGGCCAGCTGCGCTGAGGTCACGTCTTTGCCCGGCCGGCCAAAGGCAAAGTCAAACTCGTGCTCAAAGTCAAATTCAAGTCTTATATATACGCCGCTGGGGGCTGGTTGCCAGACCGACAGAATCAGGAAAATCATCAACAATCGCATTTGCATGGATCATTCCGTTCTTTTTAAACAAGGTAATTAGATTCTGTAAAAATGTAGGGAAAAAAATGTTGCAACCTGACAGTGACACCAATTGTATTCTACAATTAAAAAAGTACTTACTCTTAAAAAAAATGATAGTGGATATTTTGCCGGAGGTAATGACGGCAAACTAACGATTACTAAAGGTTTGCCGGCGGCAATCCATATCAACAGAGGGCGCTGTACTCTTTAAAATAGGGCTGAATTATAAGATGTATTAAATTCCCACCAAAAGTTGTGTAGCACGTTTGGTGTAATGGTTAAGCAAAGGCTCTACTAGTAAGCGGGATGACTCGCGTTCGATTCCGACCGCACCACATTTTTCTTTTCTCATCCCCAAATAAATAAGAATATTCTTCTTTTATTATTTTAACATGTCTCAAACACTTTTTGCATAGTATTACATTTTTTTTTTCAGATTTGTGGCTTTGGAGGATTTTTTTAAAAAGGGAAATAAAGTCCGAAATTATAAAATGGTCTGAATCCCATCTTGTGAATACGAGGTAACAACGATAATTTTGGCATGGAGCCAGACTAAAACTTGTCACCGGAAAATGTTTAAGTACAAAAAAACAGTAACTGCGCATGTTCAGTGCATATCTGGCAAACTAACGTTTACTAAAGGTTTGCCGTCTCCGGCAAAATATACACTGCCTAAAAAAATACTAATTAATTTAACAATTAATAAATTGTACGGTACAATAATTCAATCATAGTGTTTTTAGAAATACTTGCATAACATAACAAGCGCTGTGTACACTTCAAAAATGCATAATTTGAAAAAAATTAATGAATGCATTACTAATTTAATTAATTAATTAAATGTATTACTTTAACAAATATTTTTTATTCCAGGCTCAATAATTCATATTAAAAATGTTTACAACTTAAAAACGCTATGCATATAAAAATGGTAATTATTTTAAAAGGTAAATAAATTTGCAAATCATTTAATTAATGAATTTAATCAAATGTTTCAAAAAAAGGCATTAAGGCATTGTCTCCCGAAGCTCAGTGATGCTATTAAATCGGAGAAAAAAATCTGCTTTAAAAATAATTTTACATATCTGCATGAGTATACCCAGGGGCAAAATAGGGTAGCGGCTCTGTATGCGTAGCCGGGAAAATCTATGCAGTGCGCAAGTTTAAACTTGCGTGCGCAATTTGTAGCAAGGAAATGAATGCGCGCGCAAGTTTAAACTTGCGCGGGGGACTCACTTTGCGCTCGACAGCTGCAAATGATGGACTATAGCTTTAAACTTGAAAAATGGGTTTTCAATGAGAGTGTATTCGGCCATTTCTTCACAGCCTTCAGTTGATAAGAGAACAACATGTCAGAGCAGCAGCAGCAGCAGCAGCAGCAGCAGCAGTCACCTGGGGAGTGTGCAAGCCCCCTACCCAGGGGGCTTACTGGACGTCGTGGGGGTGCAGTCAATCCTAGCACTAGGCTTCCCTCATTGCGACCAGCAAGGGACCTGACACTGGGGGGAGTACAAAAGGTAATTTCCATGTCAAGTGAAATGGAAAAGTTCAGACTTTACCGAGTAATGAAATTTCTTCCATTTCACAATTGAAAGCCACTCACTATTTGTTTTATATATAACTGACATATAGACCCTTGTCATTTGATTTACAGTTAAAATGAACTTCTATTTCAATACAAAATTGATGGGAAAGGTATTTCTCTCTTCTAAGCTACCCCTTCACAAAATGTTTGAACCCAACTCTGCAGGTACTGGCTCTTGGGAACAATACGCGCTACACTCAACGCGCACACCAGCATGCATTTGCACACAAATACCGCGCCATGGAACAAGGATGATCCTAACTATTGAATAGTAAATCCCATTCACCATGGGCGAATGGGACTTTTTGAGCCCCAGCGTGAATGGGAGCAATAATGAATATCACGTGATGTGAGTTCAACCAATCAAATGACAAGGATCTGTAATTGTATGTCAGTTATATTTATAAATCAAACCCCTCTCATTTCTGACTTCTTTGTGAGCCTGCATTGTTTCAGTATGGTTGTTTAGCCATCATGTGACCTACAACAGTGAATGTAGCTCAAATCCAGGATTTTCCTTGACTCCCTTTGAATTTTGTCGCAGGGAAAAGATTTACATGTACTATTTGTTTTCCTTGCCAAGTAATGTTCATTTTACTACAAACTGAGTGCTCTGTATAAACATCTTGTACTTGTAAAATGTCAGTGGCCTGTGTGGTTATTAGCAATTAACCTTAACTCCCTAGGCTTTTTTGCTAGGATGCAACCTCAGTCCTGCAAAATCTTCCAACTGCTTCCATGTCAAAATTGCATACAGCCCCAATCCTGCAAAATCCTCCGTTATTTCTTGAATGCGGTCCTTGGAGGGATGACCACTGCCTCAATCCAGATAAGCTATACATCCCATAACGGGAGATTGCTTGCAGTATTGATCCAGATCCTGCAAAATCTTCCAGCAATCACCGTCAATATGACGAGGCAGAGCCAGTGACATCCTGGAGCAGTGCGGGGGATTTAAAGTATAATCTAGGCCTAAGTTTATGCATGGCTGAGCATAAACAATACAAGGTCCGGCCCAAGACCTTGACACAGTGCATCCTCCAAAATCAGCCACACATTTTTGCAGTAAAGCCTCAATCCTTCAAAATCCTCCATTTTGCAAAGAGGATTTTGGAAGGTTAGAGTTTGAGAGTTATAGACTGCAAAATGAGCGGCGTATTCTCAAATTAAACCGAGTGTTTACTCACGCGAAGCTTGAGTGAGTTAGCTTTTGAATAGTCTGCTCAATTATTTGAATGCTGCCCCTACATTAAATGCCAAAGGGTCTGTAAGTGGGTATTGTACCAACAAACTAAACTTTTTTAAACATTGTCTTTCTCCTTAATTTAAGAGAGCTTTTAAACCAAATCTGAATGTGGCTGGGAGAAAAGACAAAAGCCAGAGAGAAAGGTTAGTACAATTTTGAATATTTCCTACAATTTCAAGATAAGATGTTCACTTACATTGTAATAATGAGTACAAAAAAGAGATACTAGAATGGGCTAATTTTTAAACTTCTGTCCACGGATCACAAAAAAGGGTAAGTGTTCTTTCAGCAAAACGATTCACACACATCCCTATGTGAATTGTTTCGTTTTGCTGAAGGAAATCTTACCTTTTTTTGTGATCCGTGGACAGAAGTTTAAAAAGGTGTTTGTGTTTAAAATTCCGTAATGTGAAAAGTACATGAGTGATTTGAATGATTGTTGTACTAAAAGAAAGCTTATGAAAAGGGCTTTCATATCCTAGATATTGAAAGTGCTACATGCAGAACTTCACTAAAAAATGGTCCTGACATTTGGGTTTTGTTGTTTTTTACTCACCCTGTATGATTAAAAAGCTCTCAAAGTTTGTTGTAGATATTTTGTTGTCCCAACAATGTAATTCCCATACTGCCTCACCCAGCACTGATCAGGGTATTTGCTTTACAGTTTTAAAATGTACATTTTTTAATGCTTTTTGGCATGTCAACACAGCACCAGTAAAGATGTTTCCAAACCATCAACGACCAAACAAAAGAATCAAGGATCTGAGAGAGGTGACCGGGGCCGAGGGCGTGGTCGGGGGCGTGGCAAACCAGAAACTATCCAATCACGTTCCATTTTTGAACAGGGCCCTGCTGACAGGTTAAATAAAAAAGGTAAGTTTAAATCGATACATTGGCTAACAGAGCTGGCATACATATGGCTTTTTATTCCCATGTATGTTGAACAGTCTTTTACATCCAAACCTCAATAAGCCTAGAAAGTTAATAGCGTGTAGTTAATTTTGTAAAGAAATCCAGTTTTCAAGATGCCCACTGGAACCATCAACGTGTATTAAAGTGACACTGCGTCCTGGAACAGCCCAATTGGGCTACTAAATGCGCTTTGAACAAAATACTGTTAATCGGAAAAAGTAGGATATAGACATCCACACAACTATCCTTTAAAAACTGGGCGTTTTTGTGTTATTCCTGTATAGGCCTATGTATGTTATACATGTACATGTAATAGACACACACAACGTGTATACCGTACATTGACTAGGACGACAGGAAAAACGTATTTGTACTCCGTTGTGTCCAATGTAAACAACCAGGTTTTTTTGTGTGTCTTTTCTCGGGAACGGTAAGACATTAGGTTGGTTTCCTTTCAACCAGATGTTTGAAATAGGATAAGTAAACAATCCAAAACAGAAAAGTTTCGGGGATTTTAGGACCTAGTGTGCCCCTTTAAGTGATCCTAGTTTATAATCACTGTGTGCATGCATTAGTTTGTGCTTTCTAATTAATATTAACCTAATAATGAGATGAGATTTGTTGTCAATTTGATGCCTCATTAAGAGTTGTTAAAATACTAATTATTTTCAAAGATTCAAGGAATTGAAGCATGCACTTTAATGAATAGTTGATGATAACACAACAACAATAGTCATTTTACTGCATGAACTCCCGGAATGTCTTTGGATGGGAACAAACAAAAGACTTCTTTGTTGTTTGATATTGATGGCTTCGTGTTGTACATTCTGGGATATAGGAGGCGGTCACTATGGGGGAGGAGGGGATGCCCGCACTCCATCATCTTCAACTAAATCCATCAAACGAGAGAAGATGAGTGAGGAAGAAGCAAGGAGGATGCAAGAAATCCTCAGAGATGATGTAAGTCATTTATCAAAAAATCTATGGATTCTCTACATCTCCCTCGCCAGTCACAATGCAAACCATTACAGACAGACACTGCCTGACGGTTATCTGAAGCTATAATACTATGGGTGTGTGCTCATTCATTAGGTGATAGAATCCCTTGAAACGAGAGTCTTGAGCACCTTTGTTTTCTCACTTCTATTAAATGCATGAGAAAAAGCAAAGCATACTTGTCATATGCGGGAGTGTGAACCTGTGGTAAGGGTTTGTGACTCATGATCAAAGCTTCAGGGGTTCTAATCCAGCTGCTGGTCATATGTTGTGTCTTTGGGCAAGCCACTTTACCCACATTTGCCTCTCTACGCCCAGGAGTATAAATGAGGTCTAGCATTAGCTGGGCAGTAACCTGCGATGGATTGGTATCCCATCCAGGGGGAATAAAAATATTCTCTGTTGTTTCATGCCACTGAACTGGGAGATACATTTCGGCCTGATGGTCCATATTGTTAATTGGCTCATGACAGACCTTACATTTTTGCTTTACTATTACGTTGATATATCACTCAGTTTGACAGTTTTTTGGGGGGAGGGGTGGGGTGGAGGGGGTGGGGAGGGGCAGGTGGGGAGGGGTGGGTAAGATCACACTCCTTAACAGAAACCCTATATTTGACATGACAACAATTTCCGGGATTAACTTAAAAATGACAATAATGTATTTCAGTTTGTGAGTGACTTGGACAAAGATGAAGATGACAGAAAGTATTGTCCTATTCACCTGCCACTGGTCTCATCACTCACATTGAAGAAAGAAGTCAAGGATGAGGGAGACGTTGCCAAGACGGAATGTGCAGATGACAAGATAATGGGTGAGCTGATGAACTTGTTTAATATCCCCAATCAAAGATACTTGATGTCATATTTATTGATTGTAATCTCTAGAGAGGGATTCCATTTTAGTGACTATCAAGACCGCTTTGAAAGGAACCCTCATATAAAACTACATCCACAAAATGTAAACATTAAAAAACTAAGGACCATTAAGACACTAATTAAAAATATACATGTAAATTGTGCACAGATGGGAGAACTTTGATGCATGCATTGTACAGAGTACAGAGAATTGAAAAATAATAAGGGGAGAATGCAAAATGAATCAGGCAGTCACTTGGGGTTTACCTGGAGGTTTCACAGGGTTTTTACGGAGTACCTCAGGGTTCAACCTCGAGTTCATTTTAATTGTTTAATTTTGCATTATTTTCCATAAACTTGTTCTGTATTCAAAATGTGCATGTGCACGTACATCAAAGTTTGAAGATACAGCCTGCTTGTTGTATGCAGTTTAAAGACTTTTCTGTCATAATTTCAAACTGATATCATGATTTTCTATTATATTTGTTTAGAAATCAAAAAAGAACCTAGTGATGACAATGACATTGAGATGACAGCTATTGACACCAAACCAATCCCAGAGAAGCTTGATGCACAGCCAAAAACTGCAACAAAATCACTCCCCAAAAGGACAACATGTGCTGCCTTATTTGGCCAACGCATAAAATCAGAGGGTGAACTCATGTTCTTCCAACTGCCGGACACCCTCCCTGGTCAGCCACTGTCCAATGATGATGAAGACCAGAGGCCAAAGGTCAAACGGGAGCCAGGGACACCAGCTGTGGATCAGGAGTCACAGAAGAAGACTAAAGAGGTAACGAACTGTGACTTGTGTAGTCTTGACCCAAGACGTCATTGATTGCTGTAGAGCATCGATAGTAAATTGTAAAGCACCCTTGCACAACTATTTTTGACAAGTTAAAAAAAAATGGATTGTCCAACTGAATATTCAGCTCAAAATAATGTTGTTTTTATGACCCTTAGGATAATAGACCAGCCAAGTGTACATTGGAGAGTCTGCCAGAAGGCTATCTAGGAAAGCTTCAAGTTCTCAAATCTGGAAAGACGAGGTTTGTCCTTGGAAATGCTACACTTGATGTTACCTTGGGAACACCATGTGGATTTTTACAGGTACAGTAACATTTGAAGCTTATTTGTAAGCGTCTATCTAACCTGTAATTAACCTACAAGCACATAACTAGTGCTGTGTTATTTTAAGAACCCTAATTTACAAGAGCATATTTTGAGGTTGTTTAATGGAACTACCTGTATTTACTTGTCAAGTTTCACATATGCAATGAACAGAGTTTGAATTATTAAGTTGTCGGGGCTAAGTGCATTGCCTTGAATTACACATGGCACAGCCAGCAGGACAATTGTAGCTGTGTGGAATAGTCGTTCACTTCCTGGATGTATGGCTATGTGTTGATAGTATGATAATGTGCCTCAAAGGCGCAGTGACGGGGGCGGGGTGGGGTGTTAAACAAAAACACATGACCTAAAGAAAGAAAGGGGGTGGGGGAAGAAGGGAGGGGTAGCTACACATTTGATCAACACAAACACACTCTGTACACAAGGCCCACTTGCATGTAGCCCGCTGTGTGTGTGTACTTAGACCATCAGTCTTAGGTAATTTCTCAAACCCCGGTTTTGTCTTGGGGGGGAAACCATTTGAGGTACACCCCCCACCATTGAGGTAAACCCCCCATTGAAGTACCCCCCCCCCCCCACCATTGAGGAACCCCCGTACCATTGAGGTAAACCTCCCACTATTGAGGTAACCCCCCCCCCCCCTCCGCCATTGAGGTACCCCCCCCCCCCCCACCATTGAGGTAACCCCCCCCCCCAACCATATTTCAAAACTAGACTACAAAATGAAGTGAAAATTTTTATGTTAGGTGCTCTTCATCAATTGCCATTCACATAAGTTCCATTGCATTTGACTGTTTTGTTCTAAGTGGCGTTGCCAGGATTTGTGTGTCAAGCAAGATTACAACCATGGCTTGAAAGCTTAATCCTTGATTCTCGCATTCTTCTTTTTGGCTTTATGTATGTTTTAGGATCTGATGTCCATTAAGCTAGATGATGATGATAGGACAGGTGAGATGACCCGGTTAGGACAAGTCAAGCACAGGATTGTCTGCACGCCAGACTTTGAAAGTCTGCTACAGCTAGCACCTTCAAAATAACCACACTTATTTTGGACTTCAAACATTATGAAAGTCGACTTGCAGGCCCAAACTCTCAGAGGCTGCTGGGCATGTGTGCCGTGTATGGACCCTGTGCACATTGTCAAGTACCCACTCAGCATTACTAAGAGAGAGCTCGGCAGGACTGTTCAACACATCCTTGCCCTACGCCTGGCACTCACGTGAAGAAGCCATGACTTTGTGCACAAAGACTGCACATATGGGTGAAAAATAATTCTGCATACTTTGCACCAAACGCGCTTGAACCAATGCGTACACATGCTGTTGCTCTTCAACGGAGCTTTCGCAAGTGGTTATGAAGTGCTATTTATTGTTCATGGGGAGGCCGTAGTAAACTAAAAGTACTTGTGTACACCATTTTGCATTAAATGCAATGGTGTGAACACAGAAATTGAGGCTAAACTGCTGTGATAAGCTGTTTGAAGTATGACCAAAAAGACATATTTCCTAGTGGCAGAATACCCCGAGCTGTGAACAGTTTCGTATAAAATGCAAACATTTACTGCCAAAAAGCACCGGTAAACTTTGAAGGTGGCCGTTGAGAGAAACTAGAACCCTCCACTGATCACCTGAGGAGGCTTGTTTTACTGAAACATAAATGACATGGGAAATTCTTTTTAACAACTCACTCATGTTCTGTTTCAAATTTTAACAAGTCTTACAGGAGTCATGGTGAAATAGTACAGAATTAGTAGTCAATAATATGGTGCACTGCTGGCTTTAATAGAATGTTTGGATAAGGTGTTGGGTCTTTCCACAAAGCTTGGAAATGTTTGATGACATTTTAAAAATTGTGGAACTTTATACAATTTTTACACTCATCTTCAGCCAATCAGATTCTCTGTTTTTTGTTGTTGTTGACGTTTTCCCATGCATTGAATATTCAGATCTGGAATAACACCGTCAAATTTGAGAGTGCTTTTCAGGATAGCACATTTGATTTGGTAGGTCAATTCAAAAGGTCAGCTTTTGTAAAGAACGATCTGATTGGTCAGAAATTATGTCAGTCAATAGTTGGTAGCGTTCATGAATAATTAACCTTACAAGGTCTAAATAGGAAAGGTATGGACTCTGTTGGCCAGAGTACCGTCTAAGAACCTAGGCCAGTATAGACTACACTGGCTGGCGTGGATGCTACAATGTACAAAGGCTTGATTGGATTGCCTTTTGTGTTTATAGTGCATTGCTACATGATATGCATTTTAAATTAAGCAGCACCAGTCTTGACAGTTTGACTAACAATTTGATGGCTTTATTCTCTGTTTAAAAAAGGGAAGGCAAGGAAAAAAATTGGTGCTACTTCAAATGAACAGAATTTTATTTGGAAAAGTGTTTCTGTAAATGTAAGACATTATATGGATTTTCTGTTACCCAGACCTTGGAAGTAAGGCTAGTTGAAAATATGAAACAATACAATTTGGCAATCTACAGACAAAAGTGCACCTTTAATTTACTGATTGAGCTGCATTATACTGTAAATGTGAAAAATGAGAAGATTTCAGGAGACAGATTTGTCACTTCACATCTTGCATTTTAAATATTGCATCAACTTAAAGTACTGTATACAACATTCAAAGTGGACAGGAGATTGATGAAAAACATCAGGATGTTTTGCTTTAATTTTGGCTGACCATTCTTTGATTATTTTTTCTCTTGGCCTTGATGAAAAAAGCCCAAAGATTTCATTTTAGACTGGGGAAAGGAAATGACCCTTACTAAACCCTTATTTGTAGTAAACGTGTATTTTTATATATTATACATACTGTTTGGCGGATGAGCTGTCCATAAGCTGGCTCTAAGAGTATTTTCATTGTATCTTTGTTAATTTATGTCAACCTAAATAAATTTCGGTTCAAATGAAAGAGGAAAGAAAGTGCTTTGCATCATTAGACATTTGGGTAGTTCTGTTTCAAGATATGCTATCATTGCATGCATGCTCCACAACAATTGCATTTTTTCCCCTGCATGTCCTAACAAATTTTGGGGCAGAAAACGTGAAAGTCATTCCATAATGGTAGAAATATCGCAGTTTTTTTTTAAATAATACTTTTTCAGGTTGAAATTTAAAGATACACAAAATGTTTTTGATTCACGCTTCCGTGGTTAACCATCGGACTTAAAGGGATTTTTTTTTAAAGATCATGGGGTATTTAATACCCCATGATCTTTAAAAAAAAAATCCCTTTAAGTCCGATGGTTAACCACAGAAGCGTGAATCAAAAACATTTTGTGCGGACCCTAATTCACCCTAGTCCACCTCCAAAATTGGGGTTTTATACAAGTGCGTAAGCAAGGGGGGGGGGAGCACAAATTCCTAGTGCCGGGTGCCCCCCCCCCCCCCCCCCCGAGGTGCCCCACAAAAAAACCTTAAATTTCCCGCTTACCAAGGAAATGTCTTTTTAAAGTACATGTATTTGTTTTGAGTTTATTTAAACAAAATTAATCCAATTGACTATTTTTGACTACCCTGGACAGCATAGCTTTGTGAAATGTGAATAAATTGATAAGAAAAAAGAGCGCACTGTAGCGTCAAAAGAAAGTAAGCACCCCCCCCCTCCCCCACGTTTCGAATTTGCAGCACTTGCGGTGGCCTGGAGATTTGGGGGAAATGTTGGAACACCCTTGGTGCCCACTCATAACATGCTGGTTCCCCGCCCGCCCGCCCCCCCCCCCCCCCAACTGACAAAGTGCCGCCTGCGTAGTTTTTATTCCTAGGAGGGTTAGGGGCAATGTCATGAATAATTCATGTTTATCCATGAGAACGGACAATGACATCAACAGCATTGTTGTTAGTTACTCAACTAGTTAAAATACATTAAAGCATTTTAAAGAACGGTTGTCGTCGAGCTACCACACAGTAGCCTAGTGGATAGCGAGATGAGCTATGGATACAAAGATCCCTGGTTCGAATCCACGTCGTCGCTGCTCATTTTCATCAGCTATTTTTCTTCTCCAAATTTATCACTGAGATAATTTTAAATTAAGGGGAAAATAGAACGAGAACCTAAGTCTTGCAATGATTCAAAGGAAAAACTGAATTATTCATGACACTGCCCCTAACCCTCCTAGGAAAAAAAATTACGCGTGCCGCCTGTTGTATGTCGGCGCGCAAGCAAAATAGTAAGTGCCTTCACTCGTACCCCCCGCCCTGCAAAAAAAAAAAAAGGGGGGGGGGGGTACGAGCGAAGTAAGTCCTGGGACACGAGAGGGCGCAGTGTATGCAACTAGACTGTATATTTACTTTTGGGGCTGTGCCGCGCCATACCAGTACTGGCAGTAGTGCATCCATGTGCTGCTGTGTTGTGGTCGGAATGGTGGTTGAGAAATCACGGCAATTTGTATGCATTCGCAAAAGGTAACAACACTTTCATGACGTCGATGTTACAAAACCCTACTTCTAGAGGCAGGAGGCACTTTGGAGTTGTGGCTAGCGCGTTGAACACATTCCGAGGTACGGTGAGCGCATCACTTTCGACCAAAGATCCTAAGCGCCGCAAGCGGCGCTATAGGATCTTTGCTTTCGACTATCGTCAGTATCGAGTATTGTGCAGCAAAGCTATCGAGAGTTTGTTTTCACCTTAATAGCACATAACATTGCATTGACCCGATCCGAGAACTCGAGCGTCCGCCTATAATAGCTTGATCATTTGTAGCCCAATATATACTCCTAAAACTATGAGGCTCCGCGTGAGCGGAGCCTCATAGATCAAGAAGCCCGCAAAATTGCCTGCAGCACAAAACACTAATAAAGTACAAAAACGTCCATCAAAATGCAGCCATTTCACACAGAACCGCTGCACAGTTTGCCCCTATACTCCGTACTTTATCTCTTGACATACTCACGTATCTTGTGCGGAACTAACATAGGTGGATTCTGTTGGTTTTTAGGCCAAAATGATGAAAAATATACCCTTTCCGCATTGAGCCAACCTGACACTTGAAACGTGCACGCATATGATCGAGCGATGATTTTCGGTTCGCTCGGAGCGCGCCGCGGGGGGTACGGTACATGTACTTGTACGCATGCACATCATTTCGCTTGTACCGTACCCCCCGCGGCGCGCTCCGAGCGAACCGAAAATCATCGCTCGATCATATGCGTGCACGTTTCAAGTGTCAGGTTGGCTCAGTGCGGAAAGGGCATATTTTTCATCATTTTGGCCTAAAAACCGACAGAATCCACCTATGTTAGTTCCGCACAAGATACGTGAGTATGTCAAGAGATAAAGTACGGAGTATAGGGGCAAACTGTGCAGCGGTTCTGTGTGAAATGGCTGCATTTTGATGGACGTTTTTGTACTTTATTAGTGTTTTGTGCTGTAGGCAATTTTGCTCACGCGGAGCCTCATAGTTCTAGGAGTAGCCCAATATATATGTGGCTGTTAGTGTTACGCCCCAACTATCGCATCAGTCCCAACAATAGTTGGGAGTGTCCCAACTATAGTGCGGCAGTTGGGTCGGCCAAACTATAGTGGGGACTGTCCCAACTATAGTGCGGTAGTTGGGTTGGCCCAACTATAGTTAGGACTGGAGTTCCATGGTGCATGCTGGCACCATGTATTCGTCGTGCATGTGTGTTGCATACACTGATACAGGGCCGGCCTGCCACGTGGCACCGCTGCTTAATAATTGGATGAGTTGTCCAGCTGGGTTTTTTTAGTCCAGCAACATTTTGCAAAATTCAAAGATTAGCGTGGCCGGCCAACTATAGATGGGCCCCACCGTACCCATAGCTAATGTCAAAGCGGTCCCAAGTAAAGTCGGACATGTAACAGAGCTGTAGGGAATGTTTTATAGTACATCAATGTAAACTATAGTTGGGACCGCAAAATAAAAATATTGCAGTGGCCCAACTATAGGGCCCCACCCATAGATAATTTCATTGGTCCCAAGTCAAGTCAGATGTGTATAAGAGTTGTAGGGAATGTTTTATAATCGTACAACAACGTACACTATAGTTGGGACCGCAAAATAAAAAGACTGGGCTGGCCCAACTATAGATTAGCCCCGTCAATAGCTAATTTCAGTGGTCCCCAGTACAGTCAGACGTGTATCAGAGCTGTAGGGAACGTTTTATAGTTGTACATTAATGTAAACTACAGTTGGGACACCGCAAAATAAAAAGATTGGAGTGGCCCAACTATAGTTGGGCCCCCTTGATAACTCCCTACTATAGTTGGGCCAGCCCAACTATGGAACTACAGTTGGGACCGTCCCAACTATAGTTGGGACAGGCCCAACTATAGTTGGGACCGATACCATAGTTGGGGCGTGACATGGCCAATTTACTGGACTACCTCTGTAAATAAAGGCCACACTTGGACAATGTACCAGAACATGTAGAACTTTGTCAAGATTTTATTTTCACATTAATTCATGATTAAGACTTTATTTTTATTTATGCTTTAAAGTTTAAGCACACTCACCTAGTTGTAATAATAAAGCGATAGAAATTTAATCCCCCCTTTTTTAGACGTCTATTTTTCGTGTAATTTCGTGTTGGAATTTAGATACGCCTACTCCTAGAACTATGAGGCTCCACGTCATAGATCAAGAAGCCCGCAAAATTGCCTGCAGCACAAAACACTAATAAAGTACAGAAACGTCAATCAAAATGGAGACATTTCACACAGAACCGCTGCACAGTTTGCCCCTATACTCCGTACTTTATCTCTTGACATACTCATGTATCATGCGCAGAACTAATATAGGTGGATTCTGTCGGTTTTTAGGCCAAAATGATGAAAAATATGCCCTTTCCGCACTGAGCCAACCTGACACTTGAAACGTGCACGCATATGATCGAGCGATGATTTTCGGTTCGCTCGGAACGCGCCGCGGGGGGTACGGTACATGCACTTGTACGCATGCACATACTATCATTTCGCTTGTACCGTACCCCCCGCGGCGCGCTCCGAGCGAACCGAAAATCATCGCTCGATCATAATGCGTGCACGTTTCAAGTGTCAGGTTGGCTCAGTGCCTGAAGGGCATATTTTTCATCATTTGGCCAAAAAACCGACAGAATCCACCTATGTTAGTTCTGCGCATGATACGTGAGTATGTCAAGAGATAAAGTACGGAGTATAGGGGCAAACTGTGCAGCGGTTCTGTGTGAAATGTCTCCATTTTGATGGACGTTTTTGTACTTTATTAGTGTTATGTGCACAGTGCTGCAGGCAATTTTGCGGGCTTCTTGATCTATGAGGCTCCACTACGTGGAGCCTCATAGTTCTAGGAGTAAGATACGCCAACGTGTGCAAACAAACCTGGAAATTACACGAAGTATAAACGTCTGAAAAAGAGGGGACTAATTTTCTATTGCTTTAAAGAGGGTGAGTGTGCTTCTAAAACGTGAATATACTACAAATAAAGTCTAAATGTGAAAATAAAAACTTGACAAATTTCTACATGTTTTTGTACATGGTCCTGTGGCCTTTATTTAGGAAGGTAGTCCAGTAAATTGGCCACATTTTAGATTAGCTGAGTCCTGAGTACTAGTACTCAAATAAGTATGGTAACGAAAGTTTCCTGATAAAGTAATAGATCCTCATTAATGTTATTCCTTGGTTACGATCCATTATATCTATGTTTTATCAATTTATTAACTTTTGTGATACATTCCGCTCGGAGTGACAAAGTTGCACTCTGCACAAATAGTACAACCATTGAACCAACGGCCTCCTTGCATCCATCCATTCAGCAAGTTAGAATATTGCTGTGAATGAATTATATTTATAGCCATATCCGTGATATAAATCAAACAGGCGCGCGATGTGGTACTACATGATACATCATACATGTACAATGATACAAGGGATGAGTTGGACAGCGGACGAGTTCAGTTGGACAATGGACGAGTTGGACAACGGACGAGTTGGACAACGGATGAGGTGGACAACGGACGAGTTAGACACGAATGAATTGACTTTTCCAGTTGAACACTCGACGGTTGAGTTGGTACAACAGTCGAATTGGTTCGAGCCGAGTTGGCAAATAGCCATGGTCAAGTTCAAAGGCTACCACTAAAACTCCTTTTTAAAAAATGTTGACATTGGTCGGTCGTAACTAGCATAAAGGAGTCGGGATTTCTTACTGTTTGTTGGTCAGCCAATGCCTAAGTAAGGCCAAAATAAAAAAATATTTGGTCTCTGGTCAGACCAAAGTTCCGGAATTGACGCGGCCACGCGGCATTTTTTTTTTTTTTTTTTTTCTTTAAGCTTGGATTGTACAGACAAGGTGGGGTACTATTTTGCTTTTTTGGTGTCCTCATGTACATTGGTGTCCACCATAATTTGCCTTGGTGCTTTCGATCATTTGCCTTGGTGCAATTTCCCATTCCTTGGTGCTCTTTGGTAAAAAAAATTGAGGAGGTGCGGAAATAGAGGGCGCTGTTGGAGCTAGCGCGGAACATTTTGGAAAAAAAAAAGATCGACGCGCATAATTAAAATAGACGCGCGCGCTGACCAGAGACCGACTTATTTTTTTTTGTGGCCTAATAGAGGTAATAGAGGTCATTAAACTTCAGTGACCAAAACATTACTAAATTAAAAGACTGCTTTAATTAATAAGTCATTTAATCAAATTTACCAGGGGGGTTGTCTCATAGGGGTGTGCGCAAAGGTGTCAAGTGATGTCCAGGTATGGAACTCTTTCCAACTTGTTCTGCATTGTCGCCATCTTCGTTTTCAAGTGGTGTGTTTTGTCGTCGTTGCTGTGTTTTACCCCTAGACCCAGTAACTGGGGCACTAGAACTCCTTTTTTTTTTAATTTCGATTTTGAATTTTTTCGAAAATTTCTCATAAATCTAAACCCTGCCCCAGTTCTACTGAGTGGAGTGCTGGAACTTCGGTACGGGGGTATCGAAGTTCTAGCGCTCTACTCAATAGAGCTAAACCCTGCCCTCTTTCCACAAAATTAATCCAGTGCCATTTCGCCAGCTTTTTAGGTGCCATCGAAACTTAAGAATGAGTTAGATGAATACAATTTTAGTTTGCTATCTTGTTGTATTTTTATGTAGATAACTACTGGTGAACCACGCTCTTTCGCATTCAGTCATTCGACTTGGGGTATGCTACAAGCGATAAGTCTCCAAGCTGTGGAAGTCAAGATTAAAGTATGGCTCGTGTTTCTCTTAAGAAGGGATTGACCTTGATGATAGGCTTCACTGTCGTGTATATCTTGGGGCTGAAGTCATGTCAGTTGAAGAACAAAGGCAAGTACAATCCACGAGTACAATTTTTCCATCATGGAATGACACTTGTTAATAAAGAAACATTCACAAAAGGGGAAAGATCCTGCTCTCACAGGACCGAATTGTCGGCAACTTTTTAAGTGTTTAGTTCTTCAATGTGCATGTGGGGATCAGTTTTTTTAAACAAAGATATTGCATACTTAACTAAAGGCCTTTTCACACTAGAGCCACTCAACCCGGGTTGAACTCAACCCTGGGCGAACCCAGTAGAACCCCGGGTTGAGTTTTGTATTTTTAAACCCAGCGTACAACCCTGCATTGTTTCACATTTGTTTCATACAAACCGAGCTTATTTGGTTTGGTTACTACTGTTTTGAACCCTGGCAAGAGTTTAAACCCGGGTTGAAAATCTCAATCCTGGTCTGGAGCAGGGTTGAGTTCAACACGGGCAAAGTCAAATCTCAGGATTAAGGCAGGGTCTAGAATTTTCAAGTGTGAAACACTGCATTATTTCAACCCTGCGTCAACCCCGAGATATGTCTCAGTATGAAAAGGCCATAATACAAACATGCCAAGATCTGCAACTTTCATTGAAATGGGTAATGGCCATTGACCAATATTATCGATGGGGAATGTAAAGATAAAATATTTCCTCTGAAGACCTTTTTTTCAGGCATGGGCTATGGTCTCAGTAAAGTTTAGCTAAAGATCTCATTCTTGTTCTGAATGGTAGGCATTTGTGTCTACATGTATATTGTAAGTAATAAATAAAAGTGTTGTCAGCACCAGGCCTAGTGAAGGTTACAAAAATTGCAAATAAAAGGTTCCTTTGGAAACTGAAGCAAAAAATTCTCTGAAGAAAAAAAACCTTGCTGGTGTACATGTGACCACTGAATCTTACACATTTGAGTCCGTGTACTTTAGGATTTTCCTTTGAGACGTTCATGATTCTGTCTTTGAAAATGCAAATCAACTTCAGTGATGATGAAACTATACTTTTTTGTTAGGGAGGACATATCTCAGCAACAACTCAGAGTTGGGAGAAACACTGTTTGCCTATTTGTATTACACACAACGAAAAATCATACATACCTGAGTTGGATACTTGACAAGTTTCCTCATTTTTACAAGTGGGTGATTTGGCAAGGAATTATTTGTACTTTTGTATGATTTTTAGGATTGATTGGAAGGGACTTGAGTAACAGTAGAGAAACAGAAGATAATGCACTAGTTGCTGACACAAATCTAAAGGTAAAGTACTTTGCATGAACACTTCCAGTGTCACAAAACACGTCCAGGTCACAAAACACTTCCAGTGTCACAAAACATGTACATGTACATGTACATTGTACACATGTACTTGTTCTGTGGTTTACATTTTTATCTAGCCATTTTTTCCATTCCAAGTCTGCCCTATATTCTGTCATGTCTGTTGAATAAATGAAGTTTTTCTCATGATATCCAGGATTACTTTCTATTCAGTTGCTTTCAGTTTGATTGTATTGCAAATTGTTTATGTTTATCCTAAAGAGAAAAGTTATAAGATCCTGATACTCACAAGTGCAGTAGAATACCAAACTGGCCTATTGAAATCGGACATTAAAGTACATGAAGATTGTACTAAATGCTGGCAATCTGGAAATTTAAATCAGATGAAAGTAGTTGTTGCTAGACTTGAAAAGAAAAAGTGAATATAGAATAGACATAGATGCGGTAATACTAATACAACACATCAAACATGTCAAATGTCATTTATCATTTATTGTTCATAACAAAAGACTGGTTTGGCTTTTTATTTCTCATTTACAGGATGAACAGGCATGGTTGAAAAAGATGGATGAAAAACATCAAACCCGCATAAATGCTCTCCGCAAAGCTTGTTTAAATCATTACAACATTTCATTGGAGCGGGTGAGCTCACTAGCAGCCAAGCCAGGCAGATTACGTCCACTGATTGTAAATGACGAACATCAATTTATCTATAGTATTGTCTACAAAGTAGGATCTACAAACTGGGAGCGGTTGCTTGTTGAAGATCTTGGCGGCTTCAAGAATGTGCCTAATCAGAAGTTGTACAGTCATAAAGCATTACACTGGATGCCAAGGTTTAATTCAACAGAGATACACCAACGTCTCTCTAAATATACAACCTTCATGTTTGTAAGAAATCCACTGGCTCGCATTCTCTCAGCCTACAGGGATAAGTTTGTCAACCATCACAACAGTGTTTTTACAGAAATGGGAAGAAGCATCATCCAAAAGTACCGTGCGAGATCGGAAGGCTCTTTGGCCACAGACAATGTAACTCTCACAGAATTTATAAGATATTTAATAGACTCCCCTGCACATCGTACAAATCCTCACTGGAAACCAATATTTCATCAGAACCTGCCATGTGAGATCAGATATGACATCATTGGAAAGCTGGAGGAGGCGTCAGATGATATCCCCTATGTGCTGAAGCGACTGCAGATTGACCATCTTGTCAGCTACGCTCAGGGACAGAAGAAAACCTCAGAACAAAAGTTGCTCAGGGAATATTATTCACAAGTACCCAATGATCTTATGCGCGAGCTGTATTCTATATACCAGCCAGATTTTGTTTTATTCGGTTATGACATTCCCGTCTAAAAAGATTTCAGAATCCTGAATCGCATTTGGTTCGATCGACTTGAATGAAGTTTGTGACTTTGTCACTGAGAGAGCATTCCAGTTGCATGCATGCGTGTTGGCCAGTGGGGGATGGGGATGACCCATACGGCAGAATCCTAAAATTGCCCAGTCATGGTCATTCAAAAAGCTTCTTTTTTTTGGGGGGGGGGGGGATGGACACCTTGTGACACCAGGGGGTGCTGTTCTTGATATGAATGTTCATGTGCGCTTAACCTTGCAAATGGTGCATTGTAAGCTTTTGTACTGTGTGTTCTCCAAAATTATTTTTTACAAATGTGGACCACTGGATATTTAATTTTTGTTTCCTCACCACAAACAAATGGGGGGGGGGGGGGGATCCAGTGGCCTTAAACAAATAAGTATGATAACTGCCAAAAGAAGTGAAGGTGTGTACATGTATTATATTACATGGCTAGCCTGAAGATAGTTTATTAGGCATTCCTGATGTTTCACTTTTTTTGAAACCTCCTTTGGTCCCTTTTTAATTTTTTTTTTATTTAAGCGTATATTTCTTTGTAACTTATTTGATAATACATAAAGCGGAAGGAATTATTTTTGTGTATGGTTTTTACATACAATAAGTTTTTACATACCTTTCAAAATGAAACTTTTGAAAGGTACAAACATTAAAATGTTTGTACCTTTCAAAAGTTTCATTTTTTATTTTGTACTGTATTCATCAACATATTTGTAATAGTGTTTTCATGCTGTCAAAATGTCACTTTATTTTTATTCAAGGACATGAAATTGTAAAGAATCTAACCTCTTCCTCTAATTAAACCTTAAAGACAATAGAAACATCTGCAATAACCCGGAAATGTACCTTCCAATTTAATGAGAAAATCCTTGCTCAGATTGCATGTTTTCTGTTTTTCTCAAAATCCACTGAGCTGAAACGTAAGTAAGTTAGTTGTTAATGACTGCACCCTTCGTAACATTTTGAGGAATTAAGTTGCCTCAAAAAAAAAATTCACATAAAAAATTGATCTTTAGTGCCTTTAAAACTAATAACTTGTCCGTGCTACTGCAGTGCAAGATGTAGAACCAGTGGTTTCCTTTGAAGATAATCTTGAATCATGTTTAAACTGTTAAATCAGTGTGAAGGTCCATTTCTGTATCAACATGTCTTTTAATGAAGCAAAATGTTCTTCAGAACAGTTTAGGTACATAACACTTAAGCATGAGAACTTGGAAATTTCGGTCTGAAATCAGACTTTTTTGAATCCAAAAGCTTTATAATTTCAAAGGATGAAATTACGAGTTTAAAAAAAGTTGTAAAAAAAGTTATTTTGTCGAATTTTCAGCCTTTGTTATCTCTGCGTGTACATCCCTGATATAAATTAAACCGCCCCTCCAAGGGCGGACCCAGGACACAATTTTGTGGGGGGCCCAAAACAATTTGTGTCCCCCAAAAGAGGGTCAAAATTTGTTTTGGATTCTAGATGCTCTGTTGTGCGATCTGAGGCAATTTCTGACCACTTTAACCAATTTTTTTTGGGAAAAGATGTTGTTGTAGGCAGTGCCTGCCTTTATTGCGACGTCACTTAAAAAAAAAAAATAATAGCGTTGCTGTTGAAACCCCTCAGCCAGAGTCAAGTTATCATCCGGAAACCATTAACTCAACATGGTGACCTTGACCTTTGGCCTTTGACCCCAGAACCAGTCCCAACATGCCTGTACCAATGGGAAACCCCCTACCTAAGTCAAACACCAAAATCTCATTTCTAACTCAAGTTATCATCCGGAAACCATTTACATTTAACTCACCACGGTGACCTTGACCTTTGACCTTTTGACCCCAAAACCAATCCCAACTTGCCTACTCCCAAGGGCAACCCTCTACCAAAGTTAGACACCAAAATCTCATTTCTAACTCAAGTTATCATCCGGAAACCATTTACATTTAACTCACCACGGTGACCTTGACCTTTGACCTTTTGACCCCAAAACCAATCGCAACTTGCCTACTCCCAAAGGCAACCCCCTACCAAAGTTAGACATCAAAATCTCATTTCTAACTCAAGTTATCCGGAAACCATGTACCTTTAACTCACCATGGTGACCTTGACCTTTGACCTTTTGACCCCAAAACCAATCCCAACTTGCCTACTCCCAAGGGCAACCCTCTACCGAAGTTACAACCCCAAACAACATTTCTAACTCAAGTTATCATCCGGAAACTAAGCTGCCCGGACGGACGGACGGACGGACGGACGTTCTAGCCAGACGGACTTGTGGGGTGATAGCATTGTGTTCCCATTATCCCTTTTTCTAAAGATTCCCTTCTGGGGTGATGTTTTTCCATTGTGTAAAAAGTGGGGTGATGTGTTCTGAAAGGAACATCACCCCACAAGGGTGGTCTGGTCAGAACGGACAGACATACATCCAGACGGACGCCCTAGGCGATGACAATACCCCTCGAGCCTCTCGGCTGAGGGGTAAAAATGGGTTTGTTGGGGGGGGGGGGGCCCTGTTTCCCCCCCCCCGGATCCAAGGGCGGATCCAGGGGGGGGGGGGGCAAAGGGGGCCATGGCCCCCCCCAAAAAAAAAAAAACGAGACCAATTTTTTTTTTTATGTGACATCGCAATAAAGGCAGGCAATGAGTAAACCACCATCTTTTCCTCAAAAAAACATTGGTTAAAGTGGTCAGAAATTGCCTCAGATCGCACCACAGAGCATCTAGAATCCAAATTTTTTTTCGGGGCCCTTAAGCGGGCCCCGAACCCCACGCCCTAATTGTTTGGACCCACTTTTGGGGGGTCCAATTTTTTTTTTGCCCCCCCCCCCTAAAATTGTGTTCTGGATCCGCCCTTGCCTGGATCCGCCTTTGCGCCCCTCCCCTCTTGGTTTCTCCACTCCAAAATATTTATATATGTTAAAAATGCTCCCCCCCGGTGCAAATGGGTCCCCATGCAGTTACACCATTGTGAAGGCCTCCTACATGTACTCTTCCTACTCGCACCATGCCATTTCCTTAATAAATACTTCTGTTGCCACTCTCGCCTACGGCATTCTAAGTCAATGATGGTGTACATACATGTATATGGCCATCTGATTTTCGGGGTCCGCTCATAGGTCCGACGCCTCATAGGTCCGACGCCTAAGTCCGACAAAATCGCAATCCCTAACCAAATAAAGGCCCATAAGTCCGACGCCTCAAAGGTCCGACGCCTCATAAGTCCGACGCCTCATAAGTCCGACAACGGAAGAACGAGGCGTTTAATATGTCGGACTTATGAGGCGTCGGACCTATGAGGCGTCGGACCTATGAGGCGTCGGACCTATGAGGCGTCGGACCTATGAGGCGTCGGACCTATGAGGCGGAATAAATAGATTTTATGCCTCATAGGTCCGACGCCTCATAAGTCCGAAATTTCGGACTTATGAGGCGTCGGACCTATGAGGCGTCGGACTTATGATACGGCCCCTGTTGTCCGGAAGAAGATTCTGCTTTTCTGCCTTTACCGGAATTTACCTTTCTGCTAGACCCAGTAACTGGGGCCCAGAACTCCCCGGCTTCTTTCGTATTTTGACTTTGGGCGTACTACCGACCCAAGTCAAAATTCGAAAAAGGGACTTCTATAATATAGCATCCCCTGGGGTTCCTGGGTCTACTTTTCAGCTTTAATTCTGCTCACTGATAAATTACCCTTCCTCCTTTGATTACTGGCACTAAGTGGCAGGGGCGTTGGGGCGCATAGCATGAGCGGCGTTCGCTCGTACCCCCCGCCCTGCAAACGGGGCGCTGGGAAGGGCAGATAAGCTTCACAGAATCTTGTGAAGGAAGTTTGGATGGCATTCTGGGTCATTTATCATGACCTATGTATAAAGCATCTGGCTGCAGCTGTAGACCGCGGTTGGCCAATGCGCGCAAATACTATCCGAAAAGTTTGTCATAGAAATGCATACACACCATACGGATGTGATTTCTTTTTCATTGCGGACCATGTGGACACATTTTTTTCGCTCGTACCCCCCGCCCTGCAAACAGGGCGCTGGTTAAGGGTGATGCAACCTCGTACCCAGGGTATCGAGCAGTACGCGCCCATCACTACCTGCTGCTCTCTCACCCTGGTATTGGATCATTTGCATGTGCAAGATTTTTGAACACGTATGCAAATGAGGAATAGTCTGGTGCCTGCATGTGCGTTACATTAGCGTTTGTTTTTGTATGCGGTGTCTGGGGTAAAAACAGAGTCAATTCGTATCAGCGCGAGCATGGCGTGAGTTACGAAAACACGATTTTTATTCAATTAACTTTGAAACTGTTACAATCTTAACGAAACAATATGCAGTATCACATTTCATATTAATATTAATATTGGAACATTTCATGGGGGGGGGGGGCGTCATGTAGGGGCGTCAATCGCTTCTCAAAAGTGGGGGGGGGGACATACCTTGATCAGAACTGATGCGAGCGCGAAGCGCGAAGCCCTTACGGCGTGGGGGTTCGGGGCCCGCTTAGGGGCCCCGAAAAAATTGGATTCTAGATGTTCTGTGGTGTGATCTGAAGCAATTTCTTACCACTTTCCTCCATCCTTTAACTAATATTTTCTTAGCAAAAGATAATTATTTGAACATCGTTTTCGAGGTTGGAGTCATTGAATCAGCTATCGGTATTCTGAGCTATAGGCGTGGGGTTCGGTTTTTGAAAGGGATTATAATTTTACATGAAAGTCAAGCGTGCTTTTAAAGAGATTGTTATTATTTTTCATATCATTCCACAAGCGTACTTTTATGATAAAAGCCGGTGACAGGAAAGCTATAACCAGCCTTCAGGTTTGCTGAAAATTCATGATCCATAGACTACTTAAACTAAACTAAAATCAAGTCATGTTTTGCAACTGAGCTTGCACTTTCTGGTACACGATACAATAAAAGTGTATAACTGTGCGATTGCACACTGTGACTGGTCAAATCTGACTTTCTTCCTTAAAGAAAACCTAAGAATTGATAATAAAACAAATGGCAGGGGCGGATCTACGTTTCAGGAAACCTGGTGAGAGTGTGCGTGTGTTTGTGGGGGTGGGGGTGTTGATGTGAAAGGCGGGGGGGGGGGGGGGGGGGGGGGGGGGTAAGGCACGCCGGTGTAGCGTGAATATCCAACTCCATGAAATGTGGACTCATTGGTAGTAATGCGCACGCGTGAGCACGATACTATGCTATTTTTAGGATCGTTTCGGGAGAGTATGACCTGTCACGTGCGAGGGATTAACCAATAATAGGGGAAAAGGGGTCCGATTTTCATAGGAGTCGAATTTTCATGTGACACCTGTCCGGCCCCCGAGCCCCGGACCCCACCTCCCCCCCCCCCTGCATTCTAAGGAAATTTTAGAAAAATGTAGGAGCATTCCATTTGTTCCGGCATTTCAATCATCATTAGTGGTTGAAGGGGGGGGGGGTAGGGAGGGGGGGGAACGATTAACTGTTCTTAAAGTAAGGTTAGGCCCTATAGGATGTAAGCACGCAAGTTCACGTGTTTTACAAGTTTTACAAGCCTGTTGCAATTTGTATTCATGTAGGCCCCTACATTACGATGAAAAGCGCCCCATGTCACGCGGTGTCCAGCTCTATAGGCTCCGCTGAGTTTTCGAATTTTCACGGCCAGGCAATGTTAGGATTTTGCTGTACGTCACCCATATTTATTTCTCCAATATCTCTGTAACTATAGACAAACACACATGGCAAATGAATTGTCCAGACCTGTTTTGAGGGTCAGAGAATGTGATAAATGCATTTCTATTTCTAATTTTATTTACAAAAAAAATTAAAAATAAAAATTAAAAAGAAATAAGAATAAAAACTAGATCTATGTCTTTTCGATGAACAGAACATAGGGCTTTTCCGCATTGTTTTTTTTTATTCTGAAATGTATTGTTTTGACCATAAATATATGTAGTCAGGTATAAATTCTATGTAAAAACATCGCTCCATGACTACGATCTTCAAACAAAGGACTTTAAACTATACACCTTTAAGATGACGTCTCGTGAACCATGACGACGTCATAGTGATGCTAACCCAATCTTTGTTTGCAACACGTCCATGTACATACATGTATACCAATTTCCAATTTTCCAATCGGACTTGGTTCTTTAGAGACACAATCTTAAAATATGCACTTTTAAAATGACGCCACGTGACCACTGATGACGTCATATTTAAACTAGAAATGTGTGTGTGGACAAACACAAGCTGTTTCGGCTGTTTGAAATGTCTACCGGTATGTGATGATATGAATACACGATGACGGTACACTTCAAATGTCATCAAACATATATCGAAAGAGTATCACATTTTAATCATTTTAAGTAGGATGCAGATTCGTTAATTTTTACTGACGCCAGACATCAGGCTATTGTGTTTATCATTTTTCCAAACTAATTACATCTGTTCATTAGGCGCGTCAAGGACAGAATTTACTTCATTATTTCAAAGCTACCGACACACCTGACGAGAAATAAAAGAACATTCAAGCAATCTAATTGT